GGTAAACGTGGAACTCCCCGCTGCCTGCAACAGCGCTGGAACCAATCACCTCCCGGACGAACTCCGGAGTTTTGGCAATTATCAAAAGCTGCGACTCCTTTCCTCCAGGTTTCCTTGGCTTGTTATTCTTCTGAGTGTGCGCCGCCATCTTTCCAACCGTTCTCGATGCTTCTGCCTTCCTCTCTTCTTCCCTCTGTAACCAGAGCTGCTCCTCTTTCTGCTCTAGCACCAATCTCTGGTTCTCCGCCAAGATCTCTGATGCCTCAGCGGCAGAGCCAGCGCCCGTCGTGCCTCCAGCCAATCTGCCGTCCTGCCTCCGGAGTCTCCGTTCCTCTTCCCGTGCGAACTGCTGCTCACCGGCTGCCTGAAGCTGCAGGAGTGACCTCATCATCTCCCGCAGTTCCTCCATCACTCTCACCTCCTCACTTGGTCAATCCCACTTCTGACACCAATTGTGAAGCTGACAATTGAGCGGCCCAGACCAAGCAAGGAGGCAGAGGCAGCACATCCCAAATATAACCCGGTGTGGGCATTTATTACAGCATGAACACAATACACACAGCCTCAATCCTGCTGCTGCTGTTCACGTGGGCACAGCCTGCAGCCACCAGGATCTCACACACACTACCAGCCTCCAAACAGACAGGGCAACAGACCCTAAATACACACACTAATCAGCAATTCGACACAGGTGGGGGGGAGGAGACAACACAGGGCACCAGGTGCACACAATCAACAGCCACAGACATGGGGGAAGGGGAACACTTTTAACATGAAACCAGGAAACAGAGACAGACAAACTTACATAAATTACATATATTCCCATGCTTCCTGTGCAATGTTTTTAGTGCTATATTACCCGTAACGGAGGCCGTGATCTATGGGCCCAGAGATCACCTCCGTTACAGTGCTATATAAATGATTATCGCTCTTTCTCTCTGAGACTCATAAGGCAGTACTAGATTTAGTAATATTACCATGAATCTAGCCATTTATTTACCATATTCTATTGGAAAACATCTCTGAAACTCTGAAAAAGTCTTATTGCTAGTTTACAATATGAAAGCCAATTCAACCGGTTGGTTGAGCATATTTTCAAAAAAAATAATTACACCCTTGTTACAAAAATGTTTTGTGCATCAAGTTATATAATTCTGTTCAGTAAGTGCTCTGACACTAAAATATGTCAAAAATGATATGGTTACCTTACCAACATTTACCAAAAAGAGTCATTTCTTCAGGAGTGATTTTTAGCATGCCAACTTTCTCAGTGGAACCTAGCTGAAGGGCATTCTGTTCGAACCACAGTGACATCTAGAGGTTGTTTTGTGCATAACATGTCAACCAAAGGGTAGAGCTGGCTGAATCACATGGATTTACACTTTTTTATTTATTTTTCAACAAGATATCAAATCACAAAATGTGCTCTACCAAATGGTGGCGCTGGCTGCTAAAGGTTAAGACAGCATCATCATAAGAGGCCAACAAGAGTGACAAGGTGTGTCACTTTGCTGAAGGATAGACCAGCTATGCAGGATATTCTCTGAAGATTTCCCAAGGGGTAAAAGCTGCTGCTGGAGTACTGACTGGAAGTAGTGCTGATATCATGTCTACCATATCCTCTTAAAATACTCTGTCCAACAATATAAGTCTAATGACACATTTTTATTTAAGATGCATTCTTGTACTAAGGAGGGGAATTTGAAAAAGAATACCTGAAAAAGTACTTGTTGGTGTAGTTAAATTAGTATACTGAGTCAAACAGTATCACTCTCATTAAGAATTTATGGCAGAACATCATTTTATCTCTCATCAAAGATAGCAGAAAACATGCATTAATGTACTTAAGAGGGGAGTTTGACAGAGTACACAGTAAAAGTACTCTAAATAATATTGATCAATCCTCAACCTCCAAGCTATTTTAATATAGATGCTCGATGCTGACTAGGGTTGGGAACCGAAACTCGGTTCCAGATGAGAACCGATAAGAAAATGCCGGGTACCGGGTACCCATACAAAATACACAATTTCGGTTCTGCTTAACGGTTCCTAAACGCGGTAGACCCTGTATTCCAGCGGGTCCGTCTGCACCGCGGTGCTGCGGTGACCCGGTGGAATACAAGGCGGACCTGGAGAATCACAGAACGGCCGGTCGTCAGCGGGCCGTTGACGGCCGGCTCGGTACGCTGACGGCCGGCACCGCCCTTCATTTTTTTAAACGGCATCATATAAATTGCGCTGACAGGCGACAGAGGTCCACAGTTGCCCCGCAGCGATGCTCCCCCGCCCTCCCGTAGACATTTCACGAGCTCAGTCACTTCATAACACCAAAGATAGGTCGCGGTAAACACTCTGAAGTGAGGCTCCACTACACTAAAAAAGAAAAAGAAAAGGCAAAGTGTAATGCCTGTTAATAGCTTGCCACAGGCATAGCTCAGTTAAAATAAAGCACAGCTATTGTGCAATACATTTGTATTGCATGTATATTTTTTAGTAACAATTTCAGTTAAAGCTTTTAAGAATAAATATATTTTTGTTATCTAAACGTTTGACCTCTTTATTTTACAATTTTGGAATCGAAACGGGGAATCGATAAGAACCGGAATCGATAAGCAGAACCGGAATCGAAATCGGAATCGATACATTTCAAACGATACCCATCCCTAATGCTGACTTGACCACGCAAACGGGAAATACGGCCGCATCAATTCAGTGTCAGTAACATCAAACAGAGAGATACTCTACTTTATAAGATAGGGATTCATGGCTGACAGTGCAAGACAGACAGCCAGACAGACCAACAGACCAACAGACGCGCACACACATACGCACCCACACACGGACAGACTGTCTTCTGTATGTTTTGCATGTAGCCATATATTCAATGTATATTCGTGCAAACACGCACTGCACTGTCTAGGCAAAGAGTATGAACCTTTATTTTGAAGAGTACAGCGCAAGCATAGGGCAAACTAGCCAATCAGAAGCAAGGAGGCACTGGAGACCCACCCAGCTATGGAAACGAAACATTGGGTGGTATGCTTGTTTTAACAGTAAGAACAGAAAAACGAAAAAACGAGCTGAATTTCCGTTTTTTGGTTTTGGGGCAAAATTGAAAAACAAAAAAACGACCCGTTTCTGTTTTATTATTAGTTTCAATTAGAACTAAAAAACAAACAGTTAAAACGTACCTTGGTCCTCCACCATTAAACTGTCATATTCTGCACATTTCTTATTCTATCTACATACATCTTATAAGAGTATAATAAATATGTATAATATTGGTTAAAATAAGTGCTTCAACATAGTTAACTTTGCAGGAAAGTTGATTGTCAAGTCCCAAAACAAACCATGCAATATATTAAACGTTAAGTACTTTGTCAGGCTTAATATAGATACCCCCAAAGCTTTTTGCTTACATGTATTTAAAAGAAGACCTTAACCTAAAGTATTATTTAATGTTTAAATAAAGCCTAATTAGTTTGTCTGTTTTGCACATCCTCCTATCAATATCTTTGTACATCCGGCACTAAACTGTTATATTCTAGATACCATTTACAGTATCTTCTTGATATTTTCTATTCTATATTTCTATCATTGACCTTCTACTTTTCTCTTATTTTGTATATACTCTTAATATTTAAATGTTTTCAGAAAATATAACACATTCAATGCTTTACAAAAATGAAATACATTAAGAAAAAGGCATTTTAAACAGTCATTAAAAAGCAACACAATCTCAATTCAATTCAATTCAATTCAAAACCTTTATTTATCCAGGTAAAATCCCATTGAGATCAATTATCTCTTTTTCAAGGGAGACCTGCAATCTACCTGCATTGCATTACTCTAAACGTGTAATAACGTGCTTTAACCAGTAGGTGGGGTGGATTAAAAAGCTGTCAAGTTTACAGTGTTAACAAAATAAAATATACTGCTGTTTCTGGTTTAGTTTACGACGGATATATTTAGTTATTGGTTTGATATTTGTAACACAAAAGCGATGGAAAAAACCCACAGCAACACAGAAAAGATGAATCCGTGTATCTACCGTCCAATTGTTTTTCTTTATTAAACACGTAAACGGAAGAGCGTCTGAGAGGCGTTTTTGCTTTTTGCTTTTTACCTTACTAAATGGTCAAATGGTCCTTGGAGCGAGAGGCGGGGCTAAACTCACGGAAGTGATTTCAAAACAAAAGCACTCGTTTGCTAAAATCACACTTTGAATCACTACAGTATCCTGCTGAAGGACCGGTGATTATTATAAACAAGGGGAATTTAGCGACCACAACGAAAACGGCCAAGACACATATTGAGCCCAGAAAATTGATGTTATTAAAGGTGGGGTAGGTAATTTTGGAGAAACCAGCTCGAGTGCGCTAGAGTTGAAAATAGACAGCCGGAAAAAATCTGCCACTTCCTTACAGAGCCCCTCCTCCAACACACACGAATGCGCACATGACCACGAGATAAGTTTCTGCACAGATGGAAGGCTGGAGTAGAGAAATAGTCCTATTTAAAAGACAGCATTGTCATAAGAGGCCAACAAGAGTCACAAGGGTTTGTCACTTTGCTGAAGGCAGTCTCTAAAGACTTTCCAAGGTGTACAAATGCTCCTGCCGGAGTACTGACTGGAAGTATTGCTGATATCATGTCATATTCTCTTAAAATACTCTGTCCAACAATATAAGTCTCATGAAGAAAGGTGTTTTAACGCTGATTCAAAATAGCAGAGAAACATACATTCTTGTACTCAGGAGGGGACATTGACAGAGGATTAATCAAAAAGTAGTTGTTGCAGCCCAGGAGCCGGGCTGTAACAGAAAGCAGGGAGGCGAGACGAAGGGTAAGAAAATAGCAATTGTTTATTCTCTTATAAACAATGTAATGACAGAACCAGCCACAGGTCCCCGAGGCTGGCACGGAGAGAGTGCCCAGAGGAGTCCGCCAGACGTAACCGGCTGGGCTCCTCCTATATCCTTTCCTTTCCAGGTGTAGCTCATCAGCACCTGAACCTGTGAACCTAAGCACACCCACAAAGCACACACAGAAACAGCACCCCACGTGGTGTGGAGGGGTCGTCACACAAGGTTCCTGATGACTGTTTAATGAGCACCTCCTCCTCTTGTTGTATTTCTTCCTCCACTGCTTGTAGCATCTCATTGGTGTAGCATCTTCCTTCGTTTGCCTTTACCATCTCATCTATTGTCTTGAGTAGCTCCTCCACCTGGAACTGGTTGCTCCTGTATTCATCCTGCTGGTTGTTCTCCCAGTATTTATTATCGATGACATGGCAGCGGCCTCCGCACTTCTTCAACAGATCACTCGCATGCTGGTTCTGGTGGAAATACTCCTCAACTGTCTGTCCTTTTTTGAGGTCGTCACCATGAGTGAAGAGAACTGTTGCATATTTAAAGACTTCTTCAGAAAAGTATTCGTCTATTGTGCTGATAACAGCCATTTCTTGCTCTGTGAATTTCTCCACTTTAAGAAGGATGAGAAAAGCATGGGGCCCAGGAGCGCACTCTATGATACACCTTATTATCTCAGACTTCAACCCCTCCGCTGGTGTATTTGTGTCGAAGAAACCAGGAGTGTCGATCAGAGTGATGCTTCTTCCATTGACAGATCTGGTTTCTGCTTGACATTTACTTGTTTCAGAGTTGGCTGTATCATTAATGTTGAATACTTCTTCTCCAAATATGGTGTTAGCCACGCTGCTTTTCCCAACTCCAGTTTTCCCCAAGATAACAATTCTTCTGTCTGACTCTGAAAGAGAATAATTTCCATTAATAATACTCTATACTTGTCTTTTGGTTGGTTTTGTTAGAAACAAATGAGCTAAATCGTAAAAAAATTCGTAAAACCTAAAATAATTTAACTTACCGTCCATGTTGTCAAAAGCAAATCAAAAGTGGAGCGACTGCTAGTTGCAGCTTGTTGCTATGAGTTAACCCAAATCTGGGCAAGGCTTCATGTGTGCTTCAGGGCCCACTTATGAATACAAAAAAAGTATGCGGACCACATTCAACCATAAACAATATGGAGGCTAAATAAAGTTCTGATTTGTCAATTCAGAACATGTGATACGTTGTAAATCCAGTAGAACAGACCGCTGTCAAGGACTGTAATGACCGTTGCTAAGGACGATCGAGAAAGAGAAAGGAAAAGAGGTTCAAATAAAAATAAATCTTAATGAAAATGTTTCCACACAAATCATAATGTTTTGCAAATTATTTGGCGGCAAATATTGAATAGAGTGGCGAAGTCACGCCCATCTACATCTAAATTATGTATTGAAGTCAATGAAGAGAGAAAACTTATCTTTCGATCCCGTTTGAATTGTGCCACAAATTACACATATGATGTTTGTCAATGTAAAATATTATTTCCATGTCAAAAAAGTCAGTTTGTCGTAAAACTGTTGAAATATAAGACTATGAAAAATACACAACTAGAAAGACTACAAATCCCAGAGTCGCGTAAGTGATGTCATAACTGATGTCACAATTGTTTTCCTCCACTAAGAGATAACTAAGATAAGATAACTTTAACAAGATGCCTGTGTGCTTAGTACCAGGTTGTTATCATACCAGCAATGGGTCTTGCTCGTTATTTCGCTTCCCGTCTGATGAAAGGACCAGGAGTGGCTGGATCAAGTTAGCTACCTAGCTAGTAGCAAGCACGTCATTTTTATTAGCCTTAAAGAGCAACTTGCAGGGTTTTTTTTTTACTACATTTATGCTTAACCTTGCCTGAAAATTACAATTAAAAAAGTTAATGCAGGATTTGATATGTTTTACAAGACATAATGGCAGGAATTCAGAGGGAAAGGAGCCGTTTTGAGCTCTGCTACTAAAAACATATTTTTTTACGACAGTCACATGGGGCAGCAACTTTCTCGGACTCCTTCTCTGCCCAATCCGTGGTAGTAGTTTGTAGTTGGTTTGAGCAGTTGTGATTTATTGAGCTGGTATTTTTTCGGTAATTTTACATTGCATTTCACCATTTTTAATCATGGTGAGCTCGAGTTTGTGCAGGTTGCACAAACTCAAGCCTGTCAGGGCATCGAGTCCACAGTTTCCCTAACAGGAAAAGGACCGGAGCTAGCGTTCGTTCCTGGGTGCGTTGTGCGAGGTGCATCCACCCCCCTGCAGCACATATACTCTCCACAGCTGAAGCCTATCAAACAAAACGTTTATCAGGAAACCATATTACATCTCTCTCTCTCCCCCCCCCCCGTAAGACGTAGTGTGGAGTTGTATTAGGTAACGCGAGATACGGCTGATACTTGCGCATTAGTTTCTGTTATGGATCAGTATCAACAGTCCTGGCAGCAGGGGCGGACTGGCCATCTGTAGAATCTGGAGAACCACAGAACGGCCGGCCGTCAAGGTCCGTTGACGGCCGGCCCTTTAAAAAAAAAAAATAGTTTAACGTCATCATTTAAATTGCACTGACGGCCGACAGAGGGCGCTAATGCAGTTGTGTGGTTCTTATCTGTCAAATAATCACACACGAAGAAGAAAAAAGACCGGCCACACGAAGAGAAGGGATTAGACGCCGCGGCAGACAGGGAGAATGAAAAAACATGGATACAAATCAAAGAAAACAAAAAGAAAAAGGTGGGCCGAGAAGGCAAGAGAGAAAAAGGTGAAGTCACTCGCAGGTGAAGCATATCAATGTCGCAAATTGACAGACCTTTTTGGCAGCAGCGCTGCTACAAGCACTATCATCAGCAGCTTAGAACAAGAGCAAGATGATGAAGAGAATGATGTGGGCACGAGTTCAGATATACAGCCAGCCTCCTGCGTTCATGATGAGGGACAGAGTTGAGCTGGTGGAAGAACCATCTCAACTGGCACATACAAGTGCAGAGCAAGAGCAAGAGGTGGGTGAGAATTATCGCTTGAACTCAGTGTCGTTTTCTCCTGGAGGCCAAGGGATGCCAGGCTTCCCCTGTTTTTTTGGATTGTAGTTATAATTTTAATAAATAAATAAAAACACTTCGTTTAGTTTCGGTAATTATTCTGCCGGCCCATCTCTCCCCCATTCTCATTGAGTATTTTACAAAGAGTGAAACAGCGCCCCTCTAGATGTTATGGTGAAACAGTAGATTGCACTCTGTTGCGAGAGGAGGCTAGCCAAAATTGGCTTCCCTTGTTGAAAAGAAATTGAGGGATTGACCAATCAGATGAGGCTCACTCATGCCTCACAATCCAATCAAATCGGATCAACTTCAGTTCGTACTGTAACTGTCATCACCACCCTTAAAAAGTAGTAAGCAACTGAAGCAATTGCAATTATGGAGGGTGGAGAATTTCATCAAAAAATAATTGTACTAAACTTCTGCTACAGCAGCAACTAAAAATGTAATCTGATGACGGGCCAATGATCAAACTGGAGCTGTGTACAGAGAGGAAAAAAGGAGTGAATCGGACGTAAAACTTTAAATAATAAACAGCGAATTTCTAACATTTGATATTTCATGTGGCCGGACTGGGTCAGTTTCCAGGGCTGAATTTTAGTCCCAGTCCGCCCCTGCCTGGCAGTAACGTTACTATATTATCAATACTACTTTAGTTATAGCCTGATATATGATAGCTAACTTTACAATGTTGTGATGTGACTCACGTTAGCTAACAGCTGTCTGTAGCTAACGCCGGTCACTCACCAAGACAGCTGCCCTGTTCTCCACTGATTCTCCTCACACCAAAGCTCCATTTCTCGCCGATGGCCGTTATTTCTTCTAATCCTTGGCTGCTCCTGGTCTCTTGGACACCTAGCAGGCTCATAATTATAATCATATGCATTTGAATATATTAATGCTGTCAAAATTATCGCGTTAACGATAAAAAAATATGTAACGCATTTAACGCATGTGCAGAATGGCCCGCCCCATACATCCCACTAGTGGCGGCGCCAGGGTATGGCTGGGGTAGGCTACACCCATACCAAGAAATGGCTTAGTAGCCACGTTTAGACCAGAAACGGTTTTGAAAACTTTTGTCACGTAGTGATCGTCTTCTCAATAGAACATCTTTGATAATGTCTTCTGGCCAATCAGAATCAAGATAACAGCGTGGTGTTGTTGCAGGAAGTCCCGACGGAGAATACTTTTGCTGTAGTACAGGGGTGCACATAACTGGTACGCAGGTTATGTGCGTAATCTGAAATGCGTACCGTCACTTGTGTCACAAGCGCATTTGCGTACCGACGTACTTGTGAAGCTTTCCCAGAAGGCGGTTAGATAACCGTACGACAGAGTCGGTCCTCCGTGTGCACAGACAGGGCTGCCTGTTAACGTTGATCTGTTCTGTACAACGGAAACTGGTGCCAAAAACTATGCCAACCGGCTGCGGGAGGGAGACGCCCCCCGCACCCCCCCCCCCCCCCCCCCTTCACTTGAGAACTGCGCTAAAACAGCTGATACAAACATTCACACTCTGTGGTCCACTCATGCGGCTTTCACACCAGCGCTTTTCCCTTTCTAGCTCCGAGCTAGAGCTTTTCTGGTTCAGCTCCGGTTTTCCCTTTTCTGCTCCCGCTCTGTTCACGACACCGCCCAGCACCCGACTGGTGCTGCCGCTGCTGCGTCATGACGTCATCGTTTACATCGCTGATTTGCTCCCCAACGGCATTACGGCGCTCACAACAACAACAACAACAACAACGGGGAACTGCGTCGGGTCGATGATCGTGTTGCTTTTAATCACACGAAGCCAGATTAAATTGAATAACGACTTCTCCAACCTTATACTTTGCTCCAGAGTGCCGTGGTTCATTGTTTATTAATGTGTTTCTGCAGCATTTACCGACCGCTGCAGTGTTGGCTGCTCTTCCACGGGAGTTTATTCTCCTCCGTTAGCTCCCGGTTAGCTCACACTGCTGCGGCCGCTCTAAAGTATTCACTGTCCGACTCACACAAGCAGCTGATACATATCCCCAGTTCCCCTTAGCCTAAGTGAATGTGTGTCAGTCTGAATTGACGCTGTTTGGTATCACAACGCTGTTATGAAAGTTTCTCTGGTATGCTATAAAATGGGTGATGTTAGCATAGCAACCGAAGCTAAACTGACTACTTGCTATTGCTATCCTATTGTGGCATAAACCGTTTTCTCCAGGCACATTTTACCGGCGTATTTTTATTATGATTCTACTTGTGATAGTCGGACACGACAACCTGTGCAGCCCATGTATTGATTCCATCCGATAGCTGCTATAATACAAAACAACACGTCTGCCTCTCTCCACAATGATCAATCATGAACGGATGGTCAAAGTAAGGTACAAATAAACAATCACACGAAGCCTGGTTAGTATTGCCTGACTTTATAAAGTATGTTTATAAGCACTACTGCTTGTAGGCAGGCATGACAGTCGACCCATGTTCAGGGGAGGAGGGTTTAGTTTCCTGCACGTCTCGACGTAAGAGAGACGTAAGCGACGCCACCTCTTAGCTCCGAAGCTCTTGCCTCTAGACCGACAATTTTTTGGAGCTGGAAGTGAACCCGATTCCGGAGCTAAGAGCCAGCGCCGCTGCGGTGTGAACAGGAAAACCCGGCGCTTTTCAGGCTCCAGCTCCGAGTCGGAGCTGAAAAAGCGCTGGTGTGAAAGGGGCAAAAGTCTACTCCACTAGGCGCCCCCCGTCGACTTTCCTGAAGTACTCCACTAGTCCCCCCCCTGTTGATAGAAATCAACACGTAATGAAATAAGACCCTACAGTTTGATGATTGATTGTGTGGGCTGTCTTTCATTTTGACACACAGAATTTTTTTATAATAAACATACATACTGTGTTAAATGGATATATCCGCCTTCTTTTATTTATCTTTCCATTCCCACAACAATATACATAAAGAAATGGCATATTTTAGACATAGTTCGAATGGTGATTAATCATGATTAATTCATTTTTAAGCTGTGATTAATCTGATTAAAAATTGTAATCGATTGACAGCCCTAGAATATATATATTATCAACCTCTTCTGTGTCAAAAACTAGCATTGTGATCCATGTGTATTCATACGTTAGACCGGCCGCTCTCCCCCATGTTACGTCCAACCCGGTATCACAGCAAGACGTGAACATGTGACGATTTACCTTGCTGGGAGACGTGAAGATGTCACGATTTCGTCCCTTCAAACGTGACAGTTACACGGTATTGTTAACCCATGTTAATCAGTGGAGAAATAACCGGAAATGCCAAGCAAATGCTACCCCGACGGTCGGTTGTTATTGTCAATATTAATATAATAATGATTTATTTTTTAATAGTCACACTCGATTACGCAGATTTTCTTATTGCCCCTCAGTTTTGGCGTCAGTTCTCCTGTTTGTCTAGAAGTCTTCTCATCAGGCCTCTATAAATAGAGAATTACGGCAGATATGTAATATTTAATGCAGCCGTATTACAATGCCGTTATGTGATGACTTTCAAATAGAAAGCACACGGAATACAAATCTGCCACTTCCTTACAGAGCCCCTCCTCCAACACACACGAACGCGCACATGACCAATGAGGGCACGAGATAAGTTTGTGCACAGATGGAAGGCTGACAGGCAGGTAGGCCATCCAGTTATTTTAGCCGGGCCGGCTAAAATGATTGGTCGTGCTTTTTACAGTACTACGCAGACCCGGCGGCAGACATACGTCTCTGGGCGGGCATTTGATTTACCAGGGCGGGCCCACCCCGAAACGTACGTTTCCCGGGAAATCTCGAGATTTGTCAAGGGGGGGGGTTTAGGTTGCCAAGGCTGTTGACAGTCTTATTATAGGCTACATCTAGGGATGCACCGAATATTCGGCCACCGAAAATTATCGGCCGAAAATGGTTAAAAAGGCCCTTTCGGCTTTCGGCCGAAAAAATATCACCGAATGTCAGAACAGGCTTACGTTGGTAACCTAACGTGTTGTTGTGATGACGTAATAAAGACGCGGCGACCATGCTCGCGGCTGGCTCACAGGGGGGGGGGGGGGGACATTGACCTTTGTCATCGAGATTGCCCTGAGCCTTTAACAAATCGTATTAAATAATCTGATGACAGACTGTAAACAGAATAGCTGAAATTTTAACAAACTAAATAACTCAGTTACCTCTAATCATTAACCCATGTTTGTATACTGTAGTTAACTCCGTGTGTTGCTGCTAGCATACATAACACCTGACGTGGAAACGTTACTCGTGATGGAGCTACAGAGCTGCTAGAAAGACGGTCGAACCCGGTACATTCCTCCGTCTGCATGCGGTGCACTTTTGCTAAATGTTTAGACAAATTGCTCGTGCTTACATGCTAAACTCTTATTGCACTTATGGTAACAAGTATTCTCCACATCGAGACGGGTAAAGTTGAACCACACCTCGGAGCGCGTTCTCTCCGCCATCTCCGCAGTGTGCTCTGCTGCATGTAGCAGCTGCGTGTGTGTAAACTGCCCCGCCCCCTCGCACACAGACGGGGGAGAGAGATCTCGTCTGATCGAAAATACATCATAGACGCATTTGTTGTCTTTGCATATTAGAAACGAGTTGGCGACACTAAGACTGCGATATAATGTTTTTTAGCAATAATACATGACATATATTAATGTACTGTATGCATTCAAAAGTGCTGAATAAATGTTTTATGGACCCATAATAGTGATTATTATTTAAGTTAAGTTTTGCCATAATCATGTCTATTTCCATAATCAGAACAACATTGGTAAAAAATGTATACATTATATATATATATTTCTATTAATCATTTTCGGCCTTTCGGCATTCGGTTTTCGGCCAACTGTTTCCTATTTTCGGTATCGGTTTCGGCCAAGAATTTCCCATTCGGTGCACCCCTAGCTACATCCATTGGTTGTTTTTGTGGCACATTTGTAACGCTGTGCCAACTTGGGCAGCACACAGGGTGGAGAGGTGGAGTAAGGTTGAGCGATGGAGAGAAAGGGAGAGAGAGAGATATTGAGCGAGGCAGAGAGCATGTGCAGCGGTCTGCTTGCGCACAGAGCAGGAGTTTGTGAGAGAGCCGGCTTGAGAGTCAATTTCTCTTCAAAATATAATTGATTGCCAGCCTCCCTTGTCCCTGGCTGGCTTGCTAACTCGTTGGTAACGTAGCTGATGTCTTCTAATGTGCCTGCATCTGGCGCTGAGTTGCCATATTCCTTTCATGAACCACTTTCTGATATCCATTGTTGCAGATACATATAAATGATAATAGCCAAACTAACCTAGCAAGAGTGAAGTGACAGGCTGCTGTGCCGCATCTCACTCAAGACCCCACACGAATCAACCCAGCAAAAAACCAGTCGCGCGCGCAGCCTTTCATTCAGAATTTCATTCAGAATTTCATAGCAAAATAAAAAAAATGATATTAAACTAATCTTTCAACAGAGTTTAAAACAAAAATAAATATTAGGACAAAGCCCTACAAATATAACAACAATAAAAATAATCAGTGGCGGCTCCAGAGTGTTTTTGTTGGGTAATCTATGGTAGGGCTAACCCATACAGTGGTGGGGCTCAAGTCAGTATTTGCAATGTAATTACATACACGCTCCCCTTGACAGTGAAACGCCACGCGTGAGGTCTCAATCCAAATTGAACTGTATGAAATAAAAAGGCACATTTGTCTTGTAATAAATAAAAAGGGCGACCTGGAGCCAATTCTGCAATTTCCCCAGAGGTGAAAGAGTTGACCTGCTGAAAACCCAACCCCTGCAGGGGGGTCTGGGGGGATTCTCCCCAGGAGATTTTTTGAAATACTAACATAAAATACACATTCTGGTACTCTCTTGAGAATAAAAATAAATAAATCTATTACTACGCGACATATTTAAAAAAAAAATGAATGCCATTTTAGTTTTGTGTTACTTTGTTCTGAAAGCTGAACCTGCTGCTCCTCACAGAGAGAAGAGGGAAGAGGCTGTGAATTACTTTACATTGTGGATAAGGGTGGATAGCCCCCAGTGTTCTGTGTGTCAAAATGAAAGACAGCCCACACACCTATGAATCATCAAACCGTGGAGTCTCATTTCATTATGTGTTGATTTCTATCAACACGTAATGTTGTATCGATGTATATAGAGATGTACTACAGCAAAAGTATTCTCCGTCGGGACTTCCTGCAACAACACCACGCCGTTATGGTGATTCTGATTGGCCAGAAGACATTATCAAAGATGTTCTATCGAGAAGATGATCACTACGTGACAAACAATTTCAAACCGTTTATAGTCTTCGGTATTTACTGCTGTCTGTGCAATTTACTCCGCGCGAGTTGGCGGACTTTATTTTGCTTACTTTAAAATCTTTTTTCATGGTGGGGCTAAGCCATTTCTTGGTATGGCTGTAGCGCCGCCACTGAACATAATAATGAAAGAGTTAAAATGTTGTATTCAGCCCTGATTAAAACAGCGAGCCCAAATCCTGGATGGGCGGGCCCGGCCCCATGGGGCCCGCCCATGACGCCGGGTCTGGTACTACGGCTTCCACAGATGCATTTTTTTAATGGATTTTTTGTCAAAGCACTTAAGATATTCATTGCTATCGGGATGTTAAAAGCATTCCATGCAATATAACAAAAAGTGTATCTCGAGCCGGTTTCTCAAACTTACCTACCCCACCTTTAAGTGTGGAAAATGTATTTGAAACAGAAACGAGTGACCTAGGTTTGAAGCTCAGACAAGAAGTAGACCTTTTTACGTATAAATAGGAAGATTATCCTGAAGTCTGCAGAAGGATCTTTGTTCATACATTCTCTTTCCTTTATTCAGAAGATTATGTTACGTTTGGCCTCTGTTTTAAAACACCTTGTGCTTTATCTAAGACAGAGAGTGCTACCTCTGTAACAGCCTCTACTGCCCTCTCTACTGCTTCCTGTGGAGTTTCTGCCCCCTTAGCTGCACCAAGTCCTGCTACACCCCCCATCCCAGCTCCCACAAAAGCAGTTGCCCCTGTAAGTGTGCTTGATGTAGCTACAGCTGTTCCTGCTGCAAACCTGGCTATATCTTGTCCTTTCCTCAAAACTATGCCTACTACTCCAACCCCCACTGCTACCTGCCAGTTTGGTCAAAAGCTTGTTCAAATTGCTGCCTTTTGCTTTCTCCCTCACTTCTGTCTCTGGTGATTGTGTACTGTGCTTTTCCTCATTTTGTATTTCTTCCTCTTCTGCTTGTGGCTTCATATTGGTGTAGCAGCTTCCTTTGTTTTTCTTTATCATCCTATCTATTGTCTTGAGTAGCTCTGTCAACTGGAACTGGTTGCTCCTGTATTCTTCCTGCTGGTTGTTGTTCCAGTATTTATTATCTATGATATGGCAGCGACCTCCACACTTATCCACGAGATCCCCACCAAGCTGATTCTGGTGCACCAAATCCTTAATCGTCTGTCCTTCATCGAGCTGGTCACCATGAGTGAAGAGAACTGTTGCGTATCTGAAGACTTCTTCAGAAAAGTATTGACTTATTTTCATGATGACAGCCTGTTCTTGCTCTGTGAATTTCTCCACTTTAAGCACAATGAGAAATGCATGAGGCCCAGTCGCGTACTCTGAGCCGGTACACCTCAATATCTCAGACTTCAGCTCCTTCTCCTCGGATGTCTCTGTATCGAAGAAACCAGGAGTGTCGATCAGAGTGATGCTTCTTCCATTGACAGATTTGGTTTCTGCTTGACACTTTCTTGTTTCAGAAGTGAGCGTGGGGGAGGTTGTGTACAGTTTCTCTCCAAATATGGTGTTAGCAAGGCTGCTTTTCCCTACTCCAGTTTTTCCCAAGATGACAATTCTCCAATTTGACACTGAAAGAGAATAATTACAAATCAAAAACACTGCACATTGGACCTTTGGTTGTTTTTTATAGACATAAACTAAATTATAATTTACTGTGAATTAGGGGTGCAACAACTAATCGACTTAATCGATTCAAATCGATGACCAAATTAGTTGCCAACTAATTCAGTCGTCGATTCGTTGGTGACGTCATCACGTGTGTTTTACGCGCCGTTAAGGTCCAACGTTATCGGTCTTTTTACCGGTACTGGAGACATTTAAAAATATATGTCATATGTATTATTGCTACAAAAACATGATATCGCAGTCTTAGTGTCTTATTGTTAGATCTCGTTTCTAATATGCAAAAAGACAAAAAAATGCGTCTATGTTCGGTGTATTTTCTATCTTTCCAATCCAGACGAGATCTCTCTCCCCCGTCTGTGTGCGAGGGGGCGGGGCAGTTTACACACACGCGGCTGCTACATGCAGCAACACACGGTGGGGATGGCGGAGAGAAGCGCTCCAAGGTGTGGTTAAATGTTACCCGTCTTGAGGTGGACAATGCTCATTGCCAATAGTGTTTAGCATCTAAGGGCGGTAACACGAGCAATGTGTCTAAACATTTAGCAAAAGTGCTCCACATTCAGACGGAGAAATGCACCGGGTTCGACTGCCTTTTCTAGTAGCTCTGTAGCCCCCCGTCCACGAATAACTTTTCCACGTCAGCAACACACAGAGTTAACAAAATTATACAACATGGGTTAATGATTAGAGCAGGGGCGGTTCTAGGGGGGGCAGGGGGGGCCAGTGCCCCCCTAAGACTGACCTCTGACCCCCCTGTGGCCCCCCTAAAAATGAAAAGTGAAAAAAATGAAAAATGTATGATTTATTACACGATTTATTGAATGACGGAATAGGCGAACTAACGTTATTCGTCATTCTAGTCGGACCCATTAGAGCGGTGCACTCTTTCACTGTCCGGCTGAAGCGCGAGAAAAACAAACACTTTTCATCTCGGATCATCAGAGGCTGTTGCATCCAAGAAAGACTGATTGAAACCTACGTTTCGGGAGACTACCACGATAATTGAAGGTGATTTAAACTATTGTATCGGTGTAATTGTAGATGTAAAGTAGAGATGTAACTATTCATTGCCTTTATTTTTATATAAATATGATATGGTGTTAGTGCAAAAATTGTACTATAACTAGTCTAGTTCTCTTTTTCGTCCTGCATTTATTGTGCCCCCCTCAGAAAATAACTGGCCCCCCAGTGGCCCCCCCAGTCAAATTGGTCTAGAACCGCCACTGGATTAGAGGTAACTGAGTTATGTATTTTGTTAAAGTTTCAGATATTCTGTTCACAATTCTGTCATCACATAATTTAATATGATTTGTTAAAACATTGTTGTTCCTTCTGATGAGAAATATTATTTATTTAATTTAAATAAAAAGCAATGTTAATTTTGTTCACAATTTGTTAAGTTAATTTAATAATATATGTATTTTTGAATCAAGTATTCATCTTTATTGTCTTCATTGTTAGTTTCCACATGCCTAAAACAACCTCAAGCTAAATCTAAAAGTTGATGGCTAAATAAGAGCGTTTGAGAAATTGTGCAAGGCATACAGTAATAGTTTGAATAGTCGATTGATCGTTTCATTAATCGATAGATTAATCGATTATCAAATTAGTGGTTTGTTGCATTTATCCTCATTGACCAGAAAGCAGTTCATTTGCATAATAAGCCAAAGAAACGAGTAATGACATAAAAAGAGGCCAACAAGCAAATTAATGAACATTTTACTATGTTATGTCTCCGACAAGACCAAAACAATAAGAACAAAACAACAACTTTAACATCCATCCATCCATCCATCTTCTCCCGCTTATCCGTGGTCGGGTCGCGGGGGTAGCAGTTCCAGCAGAGAGCCCCAAACTTTCTTTTCCCTGGCGACATCAACCAGCTCTGACTGGGGGATCCCAAGGCGCTCCCAGGCCAGCGAAGAGATATAATCCCTCCACCTGGTCCTAGGTCTACCCCTTGGTCTCTTCCCAGCTGGACGTGCCTGGAACACCTCCCTAGGGAGGCGCCCAGGTGGCATCCTAACTAGGTGCCCGAACCACCTCAACTGGCTCCTTTCGACGCGAAGGAGGAGCGGCTCAACTCCGAGTCCCTCCCTGATGACCGAACTTCTCACCTTATCCCTAAGGGAGACACCAGCCACCCTGCGGAGAAAACCCATCTCGGCCGCTTGTATCCGCGATCTCGTTCTTTCGGTCATGACCCATCCTTCATGACCATAGGTGAGGGTAGGAACGAAAATGGCCCGGAAGACCGAGAGCTTTGCCTTCTGGCTCAGCTCCCTTTTCGTCACAACTTTAACATCCCACTGTTAAAATATGTGAAACCAAGCATTTATCATTTACATTTCTACATCTTGCAACTTATTGTGCCGTGTTCATATTCCGACAGAAATAACTGATTCACTTACTCTCCATGTTGTCAAAAATGAAGTAACTCTGCAGCAACTATAAGTTAGAAGGATGAGACTGCTGGAGTGTAGAGTAAGTTTCCTGTATTGCCAGTGTGTGATTTTTACCCAGAAAACCTTGTTTAACTTTTACAGCTCCTAATGTAACTCTACCACATTCCTCAGGAAGCACTATAGTGCAACACTATTGTAAATTAGCATTGGACAAAACAGTTGCACACACACACACACACACACACACACACACACACACACACACACACACACACACACACACACACACACACACACACACACACACACACGCACACACAGCAATTATTAGCAACTTAAGAGTGATATTATCTTAGCTATTGTCTTTCTGGTTGTTCCTCCAGTACTTATTATTCAACTGACCCTTTACAAGAGGATTCTGTTGTACAAACTCCTCAAGTGTGTGTCCTTCATTGAGCTTGTCGCAATGAGTGAAGACAACTCTTGCATATTTTAAAACGTCTTCATTAAAGTTTATTGTTGTGCTATGTGAATTCGTAATCTGAGGTACACCAATTTCCCAGTCTCCTGTTCCTCCTAGGATTTCAGTTTTTCTCGCAACATGACCATTTTCCTATTTGACACTTTAATGATTCATCCATCAATAATATACTCCACATTTGTGTTTTGGTTGTTTCCATGTAAAAGGTCCACATAAACTAAATTATAATACCATTATTGCTTCTTAACACCAGGAAGCACTCATAGCTTAATTAGCATATTCAGACACAAGATATTTGAAATTGGATGGACATTTTTCACTATTTTATTTTATTTTGGAAACCAAACGATCAATAAAGAAAATAAGCGGTGGATATCAAGTCTTCATTGCTGCAATGTTCAAGCCACAGCACATATTGTAACCACAATCTCATCACATTTCATAGCATGCTTCAAAATAATCAATATATTTGTTCATCTAAAAACTTAATTTGCTCAAATGACATTCTTTCAATTGTTTCAATGCTGATGCTTGAAAAAAAGTTTATATTAACAAAAGATAATAAGAAGAATGTGAACAAATCTTAGTAAGGGTGTAATGCAAGGAAGTGCCTGTGTAATAAAGCAAATAATAAATGTATCTCCCTCAAAAATGTCTCTTATGCTGTTCCAGTGTGATGACGTTGTTGGATTTTACCAGCATTACAACTTTTTTTTTGTCACACATTTTGTCAGATCTCACTTTTCCTCTATATACTTGTGTTGCACATTTAGCAGAGGTCAATTCACATTCAAGGTAAAGCGCTGCAAAAATGTAAATATACATAATGTAGGTGAGTTTTATACAAACGGGACATTGCATTTCAGCATTTTACATTAGACACCAAACGGAAAGGTTTTGCATTTTTTGTCAGAAATGCAATACTTTTTTTCTAAAAGGCCACACAAGCTTTTAGCATATTAAATTCTGCTTTATGTCTCCGAATGTGTCCCTCCTTATCTCTTTTCTTTTCAGGCGCTGACAAACACTAGTCTGGCGGTGTAGGCCAGGTCAGCGAGGTAAAGCAGGAAGTTGAGGGCAGTGAGCACGGCCACTGCGATGAGTTTCGACGTTTGGCCTCCACGCTGGTGCTGTTTGTCAAACTGGAACACGGGCCAGATGATGGTAGCCGTCAAGTACATGATAACCGCCAGGAGCCCGTAAGCAGACAGGAACTTGGAGAAGGGGATTGGGAGCCAGCCGGTGCACTCGCCTACACACAGCACCACCACGGCCATGGAGAGGATGAAGCAGATGCAGTACACCGCCATGCACCACTTGAGCGCGGCGTGGTGGTTGTACGAAACGGGGTCGCTGACCAGGATGAAGATGATACAGGCAACGAATGTCTGGCACACCTTCAACAGGCCGGGAGCGGTCGCCATGTACCCCGCCACCTCTCCCGGCCTCGCTTTAGTCAGGCTCACCTCCCCCATGTAGGCCACCGCCGCCAGGCAGGAGAAGACGGTGGCGGCGATGCGATGGCCGCGAACCTCGCCATCTAAGTGCTGGTCCTTGAGGAAAAAAAGCGGGAAGATGACGGAAGCCGAGAGGCAGAGGAGGGAGGCGTAGCAGGCCACGGTGATTGGAAAATTGGTCCAGGACACCGGGATGCGAGCCTGGAGGCCGAACACCTCAACCAGCAGGACCAGCAGGGTGCAGGCGAAGCTGAACACCCAGCAGAAGATGCACCAGTCAGACATGCCGCCGTGGTGCAGTTTGCCGCCGTGTGATGCAACACTGAACGCCACGCAGGTGAACAGCAGGGCGGCTACGCGCACCCATAGCCGCTGGGAGGTGGGGAGCACGATCAGTGGCATTATGGGACGTCACGTCAGTCAGGAATGGAGAGCGGCTTCTTGAAGGTGAGTCTTTAATACTGAATTTGAGCTCTTGTGTTGGCTGCTTGTCACACTCTGTAGATGTTGTTACATATTCTGCAGAAAGACAAAAAAGAGAGTGATTTGATTAAGTTTAAGCTCATTTTGATTTGATTTTAAAAACCTTGTGTGCTTGATTATTTCAGACTTGACGGCAGAGTACATGGGAAAAGTTAAATTGTAACAATCAGAAATCATGTAAAAAATACTATAATTTACCAAAAAAGGACAGACCCTGTAAAATACACAATATTTCAATCTTGCCCAAGATGTGCAATAAACAGGTAGCCTACGGCTCCACCAATCTTACTCAATTTTTATTTTGGTTGTTTGTTTGTTCCTTTAACTTGTGTATAACAGATTTGCAATGGTCTCTGGAATCTCTTTGCAAACTTAAACTCAAGCCCTGTAAAAGCTGAAGAATGCAAGAGCTGTTCAAGCTGTAACCTGTGCAGATAAAGTATACAGGAAGTGGAAGTGTGTCTGCAAAGGAGTTGGAAAGTCCCTTAGACTAAATGTGAAGAATGAGTAAACTCCAGTGTGCACTTACAGTTTGATATTGGTGACCTCAAGTGTGGTTTAAGTGAAGTTTTTTGTTCTCCCTCAGACAGCATTACAGTGTGTACAAGATAGGCAAGGTTAAACAGGCCTGAGAGCTGCAATGATAACATTTGAAAAGGGATGAACTGAAGTAGCTTTGAAGGACATTTAAAGTGATAGAATATCTTATTGTTGCCAATGAGGAGCCACCTGCTTTTTCATAGATATCATTAATACAAAGCACAAATAAATCTGCATCAGGTTGTTTTAGGGTAGAGCCAACAGCATGAGGTTTTCCATAGTCATGCACAGACATGATGGCTGCATTTTCCTGTCACAGAAACATGCTTCATATCAATAAAAGAAACCCATGTTTATCTTTCGACTGTGCCCCACTTGCTGTTTAAAGATCAAACTGCTGTCTAGTTCCCAGGTAAGATAAGGTGACATGGGGAAAATGTCATGTTGAAAAAATGGGAAAAAGGGGGCGAAACCTCCAAAAGGGGCGGGAGCTTTCTTTCAACTTTTGGAGAAGAATTGGGTTTTTTCTTACACGTGGTAACAATTTTTTTTGCTTTCAAAGAATATTGAAGTGAGGCAATGTGCCTTTTGTCGCAGGGACTCCAGGCCCCTGCCAAAATCTGAGTTGCAGTACTTTAAATGTTGCATCTAACAGACTGATCTCGGCCTGGTGATGTAGATTCACATGCAGACCGTTAGACATAACCTTGAAAAGCCATGAGTGCAAATCACCAGGTCCAAGGCCGGTGCATTGTTCATAGAGGAATTAGCTTCGTTCCTACTGCCTAACTTGAAAATTGCAAACCTAATTTGTGTTTTAGCCATTAACTCCATTCCCACGCTTCCTGTTCTATGTAATGACTCGTCATCATACACAGGACGCAGCTCTGAGCTAATGGCACATCTGTAGGAACCCACACTAGCAAAACAATCCAAATGCTTTTAATCACTTTAGGAATAAAGAAGTTAAAAAAATACAGCCCACATCTTGATAGATAATTTTAAAAAATCAACCTTACACCTTCTTTACCACAAGCTTTAATCCCTTGTATTTCGATTTATGGTGAAATATGTGAGTTAAAACAAACTTGGTCACCCAGTTTCCTTTCTGAGAGTGTGGTTTATACCTGAGATAAATGAGAACAGTGGTTGTGTGGCCTCATGCCCTGCCGACAGGAAACCATACTTTGGTGTGTATTTGTTGGTTTGATAGTATGCATAGGCCTACATACCATGCATGCCTGAGAGTTGGATCTTATATAAACCTTCCTGAATGCTACCCTGTATCACTGTATAGAGTTTAAATGTTATAGGCTATAGTTAGCTTGAGATTTGGGAACATGCACAGCTTCTTAAAAGTAACATACCACAACTATTTTACATTCTTTATTTTTTAAATCATGTTTTAAGCGAATCCAGACTGTAGTAAGACATAGCAGCGTTATAATAAAACCAGATGAGATACGTTTACTTGTAGTGATACAAAAAAAGCCTAATATAGCCGGCACTTAAAGAGGCTTTCCGTTCCAAATAGCGGACATACCGCACCCAGCCGTTGATATCAGCTCGCTTCTCCTATAAATAATCGTAAACCCTGAAAACTTCTACTCTGCCGAACATCTGAGGGAAAGGAAGTCTAAAGATTCAACTTACCGACTTTATTGGCTCGGAGTTGTCTTTCAGGTTATTGTTTTAAAGCGTAAAGTTCCTTGTTACACCGCGCATCTCTCCTCCACTCATACCAGTCTCAGCAGCATAATGGATCCCACGCCCCGCATTGGCCATATTTGGTAAAGTGTTGAAGCCTCTGTACAGGGTCATCACAAATCTTCTCATATTACGTAATGTAAAATATATATATGCCAAACCCCTTTACTCTGGGAGACTAAACCAAAATATGACTGATGATGTCATGTTGCTGGTGTCCCTAATCTGCTTCTTATAAAATAGATATACTTTTTTTATCCAAAATTGGGAATGTATTTAGCACAACCAGACTCAAAAACGTAATAAACTCTGATTTAAAAATACAATTAAAGAACACTTCATGCAGTCCAAAGATGTTGATCAAATAAACACTGTTTTTTTGTTAATTTGCATTGTGCCTTTTGAAGGCGCTTTCAATTATTGTTAAACAAATTGTCCAACAGGAATAAGAATTATACACAATATGAAAAACGACATCAAACATTTTAATGCAAAACATACACAGGGTTTACATGGATTCTCTTAATATTCATATAGTCTTAATTTTACATGAAGATTTTTCCTGCCATTTAAAAAATAAAACTGAACAAAGTAGATTTTTTTATATATAAATCCTCTAAATAAGACCTGTAGACTTTCTCTTTTAATTTGAATCTGAATCAAAATACTTAATTTCTCCTGGGGGGGGAATTATGTTTCGTGACAGGGGCTCAATTTAAGAATGAAATAAAGCAAAAGATACATACAAAATATAACATATATTTTTATAAACAAAAGTAATGAAAGTAAAAATGTATACTGCAGGCTATCTTTGTGGCCAACGTCCTGCAGTACCGCAGTCCATCCAGACGAGGCCACTGTTGCGCTCTGTTTGTCCGTATGATCATTGAGAACATGGTGGTGGATCAGCAGCCAGTCAAGACATCAGGATAACAACACAGCAGAGATCAGTATTCCAAGAACTAAGGATTAAACAAAAGAAAAACATATATACATATATGCAACGACAACCCCTGATACTTCTGGCAGACCAAGACAGAGAGAACCAACCCTCGGAGTTTACCACTGAATTGTTTTTAGGGGAAATCAGGACCTGAGGTGGAGCTTTTTACTGGATTGTATTCTAGCTAGCTGGCTAACATGCAGCATTAGTGTTTAGACATTTGCACTAAAACGAGAGTCTGGGGATATATATCGAGCTGAAATTCGCATTGGCTGACACTATCTCGACCATTTCATCCTCCATATCTTCGCATGCAGTTGTAGTCATGCTGGCATTTCACCTTGCAGACATAGCTGGTTAGCTAGCTACCTCCGAAGGACCGACTCGTTGGCGCAGGTGAAAGCCGAAACCACGGCGCTTTCGCTCGGCCTCAGGACCAACGCCATGCCGCGGGTTGAACTCGGGCCTTCCGTAGAGCTCACTTCAGGAAGCTAACGCTAGCTGGAAATAGCAGGCCGCTTAGGTCTCAACAGTGACTGTATGGTCATCTTATCAAGGTGTTTTGATTTGACTATAGCCTAGTCATCTGATTAGATAAGTGCACCTTTTACTTTTTATTCTGCTTTCGTTTGTATAAGCCCAGCGGCTGTACTAGCTAATGCCGGCTAATCTGATAATTAGCTATCTAGCTCATAGGCGAGTAATGCATAGCAAATCCTAGGTTGTTGTTTACATTGAAGACTACAAGATACAGTTGAAAACGTGTTGGATTTGTGTTTTAATGTACTGTAAAAAAAAGTGCGTTATTTTTTAAATGGTGTTTGCAATTGTAAGCCACAGACACACCAGTACACTTAATATTGTTATCAAAATAACACTCATGTTAGATTTGAACCCAATCCAAGAAAGCATATGAGTACAATACGTGCCACATTAAAGTATTGCTTAGCTTGTGTGGGATGTAAACAAGTCACATGTAAACAAGTCTGACTGCGTTTAAAGGTTTTGGTAATTTCATTGCAAGGTGTCACTACATATCAACCAAGATGATGCTGTGCTGTTATCGAGACTCCAGCTATGCTTGTTAAATAAGTTGTTTTGAACATATCTGTTCAGAATTAGCAGTAGACAGACACTGAAAGGCATGGGAGTTGTTGACCTCCTGGTGCATAGCGAGACATATCAGCCATTCATTCATGATTGATGACCTTTGAGGAGGCAGACTGTCCTTTATCCATTTCCCACTAAAGCTGATCCACTGCATCAAGCCACTAACAGCCGTGTAGTATTTATTTTTGAACCACTAATGTGACCTAGTGAAGCTGAGGACATTTTAGTTTTAGCAGCATTTTTGTTTATAGTCCTACTGACACATTGAACCACTGGGAGTGAATGGGAACATGAGGAACACTCTGTTTGATCTGAACCAGCTTCCCAGTTGAAGATCTGATCAACAGAGAGACCCATTGTGTGGACTGAAAACTGAAGAGGAAAGAGACGATGATGGGGATGATGATAAAAGAGGCCCAGTGACAGTGTTGATAGCCCACCAGGAAACAGAGGAGTGTCACAAGGCTACAGACATGAGTCTCCGCCAACCCACCTCCACGCTGGACAGGTACGAGCCCCACATCCGCTACACTCACACAGTTTCTGTGATTAGGGATACATCTCAATCCCTTGCTTAACAATGTAGTGCTTCCTGATGACACTGAGAGGTCCAGTCTGGTCTCTGGAAAAACTAGTCAGACAGGCTGTTTACTAGAAGGTGAGAAAACTGCTCTTTGGACAAGGAAAAAGGGAAAAATAATGTATGCATGACAATGGTAGCAGCCTGAGAATTCATTCTTAAACATTACTTTATTTCTTACCATATAATCCCAACATTGTTTATGAGAAAACGATATTATCACAATACCTATGTTTTGTCACTGGTTTGACAGATGATTTACCAAAATATAGTGAATGATGGGGATAGATTCTGTAACCATAACTGTGCAAAAGGTGTATGGCTGTCCGCTTTCAAAAGGTGGAATGCTTGTGGTCACGTACTGTGAGCTTTAACAATAATGCCCTATGACTAATAATTAACATACTCAAGGTGTCTGAACCTTTAACTCACTTACACAATCACGTATGTTCGTTTCTTCAATACCAAAGATAAGCAAATGTACATTTTATGATATCTCTTAATTTGATACTCCTGAATCCGCTGTAACCTAGTTCACAGCGTTGTGACGTGAAACACAGGGTTACGATTGGCCAGCCCTGAGGCATTACAAAAAAAGGTAAACAAAGAGGAGTGGCATGTCTATTTTGGTGTGCTGCTGGTATTCCTATATTTACTAAGAAACAGCTACATCAACACGGGTTTAAGATGCTAATATAATATAATATAATAATATAATACACCTAGTTTATTAACCTACCACTTCATTTAAATAAATACTTAAATAATACAATATTTGAAATTCACATGTTATGCATATATCACCACACATAGCTGCTGTGGTGTTGTTATACACAAGGGTTCAAACAGTGCTTACATTGAAACAAGATCAAACATGCTTCATCTGTATAACAAATAATACTCTAGTATGCAGTGGAACATTTAAAAATGTAACGTATACCCTGGCCGATCCCCTAAATGGCCGTGAAATGAAGTAAAAAAATCCCTAACCCACATTTGTATGTAACATGTTTTGGCCGTTGTCACAGTAACATAATATGTCGCAAAGTGGCTGCTCAGTCCCTGAAGGTTCAGAGTGCAGGGTTCATGGTTAAGAGGGGGAATCGAGATCCGTCCTATTCGTTGCTTATATGTCGTGTCGTGACTCTTCACCTGCTGTGTTTATTACGTCGATACTAAAACCTAATGCACCGTATTTCATCTCAGTCATCGCCACATTCCCCTCTGTGTTTCTGTAGATGCATCTTTGTCTTGATCATATGTCTTTACTGTTTCTCCTGCTGTCAACTTTTTCCTTGTGTGTGTGTGTGTGTGTGTGTGTTCTTGTGCTTGTGCCTACCACTGTGTCTGTGTGTGTCATGTGACAGCCGGGCAGCCAATAAGAAAAACGCCCGTCCGTTCAGGTAGGACAGCTGTCCAGAAAGAGTCGGTTTGGGGTTAATAAGGAGACACAGATTGTACAGCTGTGGCAGCAGATTTCTCAATGGCTGCGCTTGTTATAGAGACTCTCTACAGGGAAACATCTACTAATCATTTTCATGATCAATTAGAGCATCCATTTATTTGTATAACAATCTTAGTTTCCCAAAATCTTAGGTGTTATGTTCATATTGCTATTTGTTCCCTTCTGTCTGATGCTGGGCAACTGTTGCATGCCAACTCATTCTCTAAACACCTGGTATATTTTCAAAGTTGCAAGTTAAGATATTGTTTTACTAATATAGCTTTTATTATACTATTTGTAGAATTTGGATTCCAGTGCTAATTGGCTCCATGTTGCAGCAGCTGATTATCTCCAGACCATAGTAATCAAACCCATTTATGGATGAACTAATACCTTTAACTGTGTTCTGCTAACCATTCATTGGATGGAATAATATCATTCACTCCATTATTTATAGTGTGTGTCTTTGCAAACACTCTTACAATCTGTACGAGTATAAAGGGTGAGATTTGGATTCAGTTTCTGTGTCGTTTTAACTGAATATTGATCCTCGTGCTGAATTTCTTCTCTCTCTTTTCTCCCTTTTACTTTGTCTTTTTCCTTCTTTCGCTTCAGCCCTTTTGCTGCTTGGTGAGTTTTCCCTTCGCTTGCTTTTCTTGTTGCTTCTCGTGCAATTTATAATATTCCCACCACTCTTACACCACTGACACATCTGACCTCTGACATCCCTCTCTCCTCTTTTGTCCAACTGTAAGATTCCCCTCTTTCCTTTGAGCCTGTCTTTTCATTTATCTTGATACTCCTTCTCTTCATTTATTCCCTTCCCACTGCAACTACCCCTTGAGACAATTCAAATGTGTTGTTGCTAGGGCTGCTCAATTATGGCAAAAATCATAATCTCGATTATTTGGGTCAACAATTGATATCACGATTATTAAAAACGATTATCCATTTACTTTTACAATTTATTGGAGGAAAAAAAAAATGTGAACAGTATTTTTTTAACAGTTGATTACCCTGAACTTTAAATATTATTCAACTGAATAAACAAAACAAAAAAAATTATTTAAAAAAAATAAAAATAAAAAAGTAATCGTTTTATTTCCATTACGTTGTTTTCGTAATCGTTGCAAGCCATAATCGTAATTGCGATTAAAATACGATTAATTGAGCAGCCCTAGTTGTTGTTGTATGCTAAACCTCGCTTCTCTTCAAACCAGGCTCAGCAGTCTGACCATCGGTGACTCGGAGCGCAAAGCGTCTGCCGCCCAGCAGAGAGAGCCGATTCTGGAAATCCCTGCTGAGAGTACGGGTAACGACAACCTCCCTGCTTTTGTTTCAGGATTCATTTCAAATGGGAATATATTAAATAACTCCCGACCGTCCGTCTGTCCTCCTCTCCCAGGCACCGGTCTTGTCCAGAGATGCGTGGTCGTGCAGAAGGACCAGCTCGGCTTCGGCTTCACAGTTTGTGGAGAGAGAGTCAAGCTGGTGCAGAATGTCCGACCAGGTGAGACGATGCACCGCTGATGGGTCTTATCAAGTTCTCCAAAAAACTGCAATGTAAAGTAATTAAAAATGGAAAGATAATATAAATAGATAGATTTTTATAATTAAATTGACGTGAAGTTGAGTGCATGCGCATAGCTAATGTGTTGATGCTATCAAAAGATCGAATTCAGTTACTAAGATGCTCCAATAGACTGTGATGAAAAGGGCTTTTTCCTCCTTGTTTCATGAGATTATATTTTGTAAAATAAATGTTTTGTGATTGAATTGACAAAAAGTCTGGATAAATAGAGTGTTCATGTACAACAGTCAACATGACCTTGATGGTAGGGAGATGATAATGAGTTATATGGTAGCACCCAACAAATATATTTTTGTTCATGATTTTCACTGTATGTCTTATCTTTACAGGTGGTGCAGCAGTGAAGGCTGGGGTTCATGAAGGGGACAGAATCATAAAGGTTTTTACTACTTTTAATCCCAAATAACAAATGACCTTACATTACATGTAATTTGTTAGACGCTTTTATCCAATGCGACTTACATACATCCAGTACTGGACCGAATGTGACGGTCGTTAGTTTTTTCCTGTTTTTAATGTTCCTGTTCCTTTTCTCTTTCCCTCTCTCAGGTGAACGGCCAGCTGGTGTCCTCCATGTCCCATCAGGAGGTGGTAAAGCTCATCAAATGTGAGTTTGAAATATGATTGATGTGTTTTGGTATATTCTGTTTATTTAGCATGTATTTATCTGACTCCATTCCTGCTTTTTTTTTTTGTTATCCTCTCGCAGCTGGACCGTATGTCGCTCTGACACTACAAGGACCGCCCCTTTCAGCCTCACTTCCCTTAGAGCCCCTCCACACGGACCTCACCAATCAAAGAACGTCTCTGGGTGGGGAGGCCCCCCCGACTCCGCCTCCCCCCTTGCCGTCGGGACTGAGCAGCACCCCATCGCAAAGAATCACTGGACCCAAACCACTGCAGGTAAACCAATTTAAATTAAGGATTGATGTCATTTCCCAGCTGGTATTTTAAGAAATACTGATTATTTTACTCACTTTTGTATACACCATCATACAGATTTGTTGTACATTGTGTTTTTTTTTAGGACCCAGAAGTACAAAAACATGCCACTGAGATACTCAGGAGAATGCTGGAGCAGGAAGAGGCTGAACTACAGGTTAATATATACACACACACACACACTCTCGCACACACATACCATGTATACATCACTTCAGGGGACATTACATTGACTTACATGCATTTCCTGGAGACTTATCCTAACCTTAACCATAACCAACACATGCCTAACCCTTATCCTAACCCTAACCAAGTATTCACCCTAAAATGAATGATTCCCCTCATGGGGACCTCCATTTTGTCCCGATAAGGGAGGCGAGTCCCCACACGTGACTGTAAACAGATGTAGGTCCCCACAAGGATAGTAATGCTAACACACACACACACGCACACACACACAGGTGTCCCACTTAAGTAACAATCCCTGACTGCATCCTCCAGATAATTTCCCCTATGATAACATTCTTCTGTGACCTACTTAACCCCCTTGTTGCACCGTGCTGTTTGCACAATTAGTTTGGGAGTTAGTTTTGCAGCTAATATCTGATAACCACTTTGCAGGAGTTGATGGAGGAGCAGTTGAGAATCCCGTCGTTTTCACTTGGGGAACGGATAGAAAGAGCAAAGAGGAGAGCTAACCAAGTCAGGGTCAAGATTCAGCAAGATCTGGTGAGCAGGCGTTACTGTTTTATATATATTTGTTTTTATACTACCTGGAAACGTTTTAGAAAGGCTGAAAAAACATTACAAAATTCAAAATGAATTAATACAAAAACTTTTTTCCTGCCATAACCACAACATGTTTTAGGTAGTACAGGTTCAAAGGGTTTTACATTTGACCTATATGCCTGTTTTGTTGCTCCTGTTTGGCCCATTAAATCACTAAAAATAGCTTCAATTGAATCATCTGCTGCTTTCTTCTGCTTCTCCAGGACGGGACGCGATCAGATTGTGCCACGAGCTACGTCATAGCAGGAGAAGGTGCATCTCTTTACCTATTTAAGTAAACGTCTTACAAAGCTAACACATTAGCTCTAATGATTAGCATGCACACTTACTGGTCTCATGTGTCAGCAGGAAATACTCATAAATTGTTAAAATGACTAAAGATCTTATGATTAAAATGCTGAAATTGGATCTTCTGTTGTGGAATTCACTGTTTTACTTTCCACTGAGGCCATAGACACTAAATGAATAACCACCTGTCACGATATGATTGTCTTTTTCTAATGGTGTAAAACGTCTCTGTGCTCTGGCAGGTCGACTATCAATGGACTCCAGCGAAGGCGACGTGGAGGTAGGCTGTTTCTTCGTCTTTTTTTAAATAACTGGTGAGGTTGTATGTGATGGTCCCACTCATCCCGTCCCCCTCATCCTCCCTCCCTCCCTTCCCTCCCCAGGCTTTTGAGAGTCCCCACTCCTCCCCCTCATCCTCCTTCAGGACCCCACAACACCGCCGGCAGAACTCCGACACACACACCCTGTCTGACTCGGTGAGATGGACGCACACTTTCAGTTTAATCTAGACGACGCCTAAAGAGATGTAGCAAAATCTCTTCTAGTAATTTCTCATAATCCTCGAGTGTGTGACTGAGTGCTTCTGTGTGTGCGTGTGTCAAAAGGGCGGGAAGGCGCAGATCATCGGCCCCGAGGAAGAGGATGAAGAAGATGACGGTTATGCATTTAACGAGGTGAGAAGAACACTTAAGAGTTTTCTTTCCCCACTTCTATTTTTCTTTCTGTTCCCTTCATTTATAAATGGTTCCCTTTTCCTCCGTCGTCCTCTCAGATGGACGGTCCGTTCCAGGACATCGAGCTGTTGAAGTCACGGCCGGCACACATGGCGGTGTTCATGAGATACGTCTTCACACAGCTCCTGGACCCCAACCCTCTGGTCAGTCTACGATAGATTTTATATCAGATTACAACTACATGTATTGGTGTTCATTTTGTCCACTATTTGTAATTTTAGTCTTAGTCAAATATTTCGTTTTTTGAAAAATGTAGTCAAGTTTTAATGGAATTTTACTCAGATTATATTATAATAATAATAATGGGTTTTATTGGTAACGCACTTCATATTTGAAGACAAATCCCGAAGTGCTACAAGCAGTAAGCATAGAGCAATATAAAACATCACAAAACACGGTAGAGTTAATTGTAAAAACAGTATAAAAAAAATGGCTAGTCACAAATCTTAGTCTACCTGTCGCACTAAATTAACACTACATGTCATCAAGCGTCTTTGGGTTCAAGAAAAGCGCTATAGAAATCAAATGTATTATTATCAAACAGGAGTGTATAGAAGTGTTGTGAATGAAATGGATTCTGCTGTTTCTGTACGACTGTGTTTATCTGCTTTCTTACATTTTGCGTGTGTGTCCACAGCTGTTCTACCTGTCAGTGGAGGCCTACCTGGGCTCCAGTCCTAAAGACGCCCGCGCACTCGCACCTCAGATCTGCTCCCACTTCCTGGACCCAGATGCTGTATGTACCAAATTATTTTACACTTGTATTGTTCCTTTTATCTGTTATATCAAAGTAATGGCTGCTAATGTGCAACGTGTTGGAACTATTTCTATTTTTGATTTGCAGAAGTAAATGGTATGAGAAGAAGCTGAATGTTTAACCTACTTCTCATACCATTTCCTTTATCAGACAAGTCACACATTTACCATACATCAAGATACATACTTAGAATAAATATAGTTTACAGTGCCTGAAAAACATGCCTTTTCTTTCTTTAGCCCCTGAAAATCAAAGTGCGAGAGGAGTATCTCACAGATATAGGTAAGACGACTACATCGCAGTTGTGTTGCTGGCGAATTCACTTGTTTTGAAACGACTGGAAAATAATATCTGTGACAGATTCAATTAAAGGGCGACCCCGCTGACATGATGTTGTGTCCTTGTCCCTTCAGAGGGTCGGCTTCACGCCTCGGAGGACATCAGGGGTCCTCTGTCCGAGCTGCAGCAGCAAGTGTTGCCGGACATCCAGGACCAGATCCAGGACTACAGGTACTGAAGGCTGACAATACTTAATACGTTAAAGGTCACCTATTATGCAAAATCCTCTTCTTCATGTCTCTTCTACATCAACATGTGTCCCCTCTTCTTCATGTCTCTTCTACATCAACATGTGTCCCCTCTTCTCCATTCTCTACATCAACATGTGTCCCCTCTTCTTCATGTCTCTTCTACATCAACATGTGTCCCCTCTTCTTCATGTCTCTTCTACATCAACATGTGTCCCCTCTTCTCCATTCTCTACATCAACATGTGTCCCCTCTTCTTCATGTCTCTTCGACATCAACATGTGTCCCCTCTTCTTCATGTCTCTTCTACATCAACATGTGTCCCCTCTTCCTCATGTCTCTTCTACATCAACATGTGTCCCCTCTTCTTCATGTCTCTTCTACATCAACATGTGTCCCCTCTTCTCCATTCTCTACATCAACATGTGTCCCCTCTTCTTCATGTCTCTTCGACATCAACATGTGTCCCCTCTTCTTCATGTCTCTTCTACATCAACATGTGTCCCCTCTTCTTCATGTCTCTTCTACATCAGCATGTGTCCTCTCTTCTTCATGTCTCTTCTACATCAACATGTGTCCCCTCTTCTTCATGTCTCTTCTACATCAACATGTGTCCCCTCTTCTTCATGTCTCTTCTACATCAACATGTGTCCCCTCTTCTTCATGTCTCTTCTACATCAACATGTGTCCCCTCTTCTTCATGTCTCTTCTACATCAACATGTGTCCCCTCTTCTTCATGTCTCTTCTACATCAACATGTCTCCCCTCTTCTTCATGTCTCTTCTACATCAACATGTCTCCCCTCTTCCTCATGTCTCTTCTACATCAACATGTGTCCCCTCTTCTTCATGTCTCTTCTACATCAACATGTGTCCCCTCTTCTCCATGTCTCTTCTACATCAACATGTGTCCCCTCTTCTCCATGTCTCTTCTACATCAACATGTGTCCCCTCTTCTTCATGTCTCTTCTACATCAACATGTGTCCCTCTTCCTCATGTCTCTTCTACATCAACATGTGTCCCCTCTTCTTCATGTCTCTTCTACATCAACATCAACATGTGTCCCCTCTTCTTCATGTCTCTTCTACATCAACATGTGTCCCCTCTTCTCCATGTCTCTTCTACATCAACATGTGTCCCCTCTTCTCCATGTCTCTTCTACATCAACATGTGCCCCCTCTTCTTCATGTCTCTTCTACATCAACATGTGTCCCCTCTTCCTCATGTCTCTTCTACATCAACATGTGTCCCCTCTTCTTCATGTCTCTTCTACATCAACATGTGTCCCCTCTTCTTCATGTCTCTTCTACATCAACATGTGTCCCCTCTTCTTCATGTCTCTTCTACATCAACATGTGTCCCCTCTTCTTCATGTCTCTTCTAAATCAACATGTGTCCCCTCTTCTTCATGTCTCTTCTACATCAACATGTGTCCCCTCTTCTTCATGTCTCTTCTACATCAACATGTGTCCCCTCTGTGGAAAGGGACTCTGAAAGTTTCAGGAACAAAGATTCTCTCTCTTTTTGATCCATTTTTATAAAAACCTGTCTGAAAATGAGCTGATCAGATTTTGGCCACTTTATGATGTCATAATGATGTTTTGTCTTGTGTAACCATTAGCCAATCAGCAACCAAGGTAACCCCCCCCCCCCCCCCACCTTATCACCTGAATCTCCTCCTAGAGCACCATTGTGTTCTTTGTAACCAAATCTCTCTCAGAGGGGCGTGGGGAGGGGCTCCTTATTTTCATCTAAAGTAACAGACAGAGAATCAGCACTTTGGAAACAGGGCTGAAACAGAGGGGATTATGGGTAATGCTGCAATGATCTGTTTGGTGTTTCAGCCAATCAGAGACAGTCTCTATATATATCTGATACCTATAATATCTTGATGAAAAACTGTATAATAGGGGACCTTTAAATCAAGAACTGAGAATTATTATTTCCCCCTTGTGATTATTATCTAAAAAGCTAGCTATGTACGTACACATGGGTCCTTTGGATACTTAGAAGCACTACATGTTTTGCAAATAACATTTCAAAATTCTTCATGGGAAGTAAAAGAAGTGCAGCATGTGCATGGCACTACTGTTCGCCAACGTTAGCTTTCATCAGTGTAGATGCTAACGGCGTTGAAGTTGAAGGCCTTTACAGATTGTGTTTCTGTGTTTCGTAGGAACAAGCAGATGATGGGCCTCGGCTCTCTGTTCGGAGAAGGAGACCTGCAGCAGCTGGACGGAGACCCGGTGAAAGAGCGACAGGTGGTGGACAGACAGGTCACCGCCCTCTGGGAAATACTGTGAGTCTGGGGCTCTCACAAATACAAAAACGTGCAAAATTGTGCAGATCAATTCGGTTTTTCTTTTAGATCTATACACAAATCTTCACACTTATGCCAAATGATCAAACAAAACCTTATTTCTAGGTCAGATACACCTGTTAACAAATCAAACATTGGTTTACTTTCAACATGTAGTGAATATTAAACTCCACACACTAAACCAGGCTCCGCCGCCAAGTGGCTCAATAAAATAGTTATTACAAAGCGACAGAAGGAGTTCTCCCAAGCTATCATAACAAAGGTCGGCAAACCTGGAGACCACATGACGTTCCCTCCTTCGACTTTATACACACACAGGCCGCTTCCCATCACATGACGGCTGCACCACAGTCTGTTCCTTTCACCTTTTGCTTACACCTGGATTTAACTCTTGAGGATTTAAACTGGATATCGCTTGTTATTTGCTGCGTTGCGACTCAACAGCCTTTTTATGTCTCTCTCTCTGTTCCCGCTCCAGATCAAAGCACGAAGAAGACAGAAGGTACAACTAGTGTCAAAGGCAATCTGTTTGCTTCTTTCTTAAACACCTTTTCTGCGTTTGTTTTTCATCGTGGTCTTTTCTCCTCACGTTTCCGTGTTTGTCCTCTCTCTCGTTCTCTGTCCGCCCCCTCTCAGTTCTCCCCTGGCGTCGGCCGTTCACCTTTACCTGCGGCATTCAGGTATCAAGCTAAGAGACTCCAAGGTCTTCCCTGGGCTGAGCACAGAGAAGGAGAAGTGGCTCGCCTTTTTAAAGACGAAAAAGGTAACTGCCCTCTAAAAAACAATAAAGCTGTAATGGGAGGGTAATGTCAGGTTGAATCCACATTTTGTTTTAATTGAGCACATGTACTCAACATGGCTGTTAGAAATGTGAACATGGGCATCTGTTTTATTTTTCAAAAATATTCCCCTGTCTTAATTATGCAAACCATAACACATTCTGCAATGTGTGTTTACAGAATCAGCAAAGGAAACAGTATTTTATTTGTAAGCAGTGCTGTATATATCTTCTGCCTCTGAGTTTAACAAGGTGTAGATCACTATGAGTCAATCTGAGATAAGAAAAGCTTGGCTGTTTCTGCTTAAGTCCATTGATTTGTTTGCCTCTAAACTGTGTCCGCTTAAACATAACTGTGGAGCAGCAATTTGGGTTCAACTCAAATATATTTGCATGGCTAACAAAACACAATTGAATAGAAGTCTATGAAAAGAATGAGGTGTGTGTGTATATATATTCATATATGTTGATTATATTATATGACATGACTGACGCTTCCTTTCTCCATAGCTGAGTGGTACCAAGAAAGAGAAAGATGGAGAGGATAAAAAGAGAAATCCCATCCTGAAGTACATCGGAAAACCCCGGAACTCCTCCCAGTCTAGTAAATACACACACACACACACACACACACACACACACACACACACACACACACACACACACACACACACACACACACACACACACACATACCATGTATACATCACTTCAGGGGACATTACATTGACTAACATGCATTTCCTGGAGACTTATCCTAACCTTAACCAACACATGCCTAACCCTTAACCTCACCCTAATCCTAAACCTAACCAACTCTTCACCCTAAAATTAATGATTCCCCTCATGGGGACCTCCATTATGTCCCCATAAGGGAGGCGAGTCCCCACACGTGACTGTGTAAACAGATTTAGGTCCCCACAAGGATGGTAATGCTAGGACACACACACATACACACACATGCTCTAGTTCACTGCAGATGGCTCATGCCGGTGGCTTCATTTAGGGATATTTTTTTTCTATAAATCATTATTATAATCTGATATCTGAACCCAGTTCAATGTCAAAATGCTTCAATATTTTTGGTTTATTCTTCAATGCATCACGCTAGTCTCACAAGTGCATTACCAGTATGTAATATGTGAACATGAGTGTGTGTGAGAGGTCATGGTCAGCTGACGGTATTGGTTCACTGGCACATCGCATCACACTCACGCAAACACGGACAAGTGATGCTCCCTCTCATTGTATTCGTCAGACGATATTGATTTATTTGTGCCCTCTGTCTGCCCTTTTTTATTGTTGTTTTTCCATTGTTTGTTTATTGATTTCTTTATTGTGTCTTGTTAGTTCATTGCTTCTTTTTGGTTTCTTTTGGTTTTTTAGCATTCCATGTCCCGTTGTCACCCACCGAAGGTATATCTTTTGTTTTTTATGTCATTGCACTGTTGTTACATTTTTGCTTTTTCAACATACATGGAATGAATTCAATTTGAAGACCTCGTTTTAGCCCACTATTGTATCGTACTGTACAATAAAGCAAAACGTGTGTGTGCAGTCCGTCCTGGCAGTGTGAGGAACATCATTCAGCAGTTTGAGAACCACACAGAGACGGGGGAGGATGGGGGAGACCCCGCGGACCCCCCGAGGCTCTCCACCAGCAGCCTGGGAGAGGACAGCATGGACAGGTACTCCATCATCAGAATCAGAATCCCTGTATTCGTCCCACAGAGGGGACATGTACATTGTTACAGCAGAAAAGAGCCACAGACAGCTTAATGTTACCTAAGAAGCATGCATACTAAAGATTAAAAAAAAGTTACACAATTTACAAAATACACATCCTGTAACAGTTCTGAGGATTTAGCAGCCAGGTATATATTGCACAGTTTTTAACGGCATTTATATATATGCCGTTAAAAACTGCAATATATACATAAACTGTGCAATATATATATATATATATATATATATATTAGGGCTGTCAAACGATTACAATTTTTAATCAGATTAATCACAGTTCTAAAATTAATTAATCATGATTAATCACCATTCGAACTATGTCCAAAATATGCCATTTATTTATGCATATTGTTGTGGGAATGGAAAGATAAATGAAAGAAGGCGGATATATCCATTTAACATACAGTATCTATGTTATAGTATTATTATTATTATATCAATCATCAAACCGTGGGGTCTTAATTCATTACGTGTTGATTTCTATCAACGGGGGAGTACTTCAGGAAAGTCGACAGAGGGGGGGGGGGGGGGCGGCGGCGGCTAGTGGAGTACTTCGTGACCACAGTGTGAACGTTGTGATCAGCTGTTTTAGCGCAGTTCTCCAGTGAAGGGGGGGGGGAAGTCTCCCTCCGCAGCCGGTTGGCGTAGTTTTGGCACAATTCCGTTATACAGACCGACGTTAACAGCAGCCCTGTCTGTGCACACGGAGACCGACTCTGTCGTCCGGTGATCTAACCGCCTTCTGGAAAAGCTTCACAAGTACGTCGGTACGCAAATGCGCTTTGTGACACAAGTGACGGTACGCATTTCAGATACTTACATAACCTGCGTACCCGTTATGTGCACCCCTGTACTACAGCAAAAGTATTCTCCGTCGGGACTTCCTGCAACAACACCACGCCGTTATCTTGATTCTGATTGGCCAGAAGACATTATCAAAGATGTTCTATTGAGAAGTCGATCACTACGTGACAAAAGTTTTCAAAACCGTGGCTACTGAAATCAATCTTACTAACTGCTGTCTGTGCAATATACTCCGCGCGAGTTGGCAGACTTTATTTTGCTTCCTTTAACATCATTTTTCATGGTGGGGCTAAGCCATTTCTTGGTGTGGGTGTAGCCTACCCCAGCCATACCCTGGCGCTGCCACTGGTGGCACGTATGGGGCGGGCCATTCGCATGCGTTAAATGCGTTAAATATTTTAACGCAATTAATTCAAAAAATTAATTACCGCCGTTAACGCGATAATTTTGACAGCACTAATATATATATATATTAGGGCTGCTCGATTATGGAAAAAATCATAATCTCGATTATTTGGGTCAATAATTGATATCACGATTATTAAAAACGATTATCCATCTACTTTGAAAACATCCATTTATTGAAAAAAAAAATTAAACCGTATGTTTTTAACAGTTGATTACCCTGAACTTTAAGTATAATTCAACTGAAAATCCAATAATAAAAAAAAATAATCGTTTTATTTCGATTATGTTGTTTTCATAATCGTTGCAAGCGAAAATCGTAATTGCGATTAATTGAGCAGCCCTAATATATATATATATATATATTGCACATAGTTGGTTGGTATTTAACAACAAGGGGTGTTATAGTCTGTGTTATTGTGTGTGTGTGGGGGGGTATACCAGGGGCCGTGGTGGTTACATAGTCTGACCGCTGTCATGAAATGTATAATCCGCATGTTGCACCTGATTTCAATGTTGCTATTTTAGAGATAATTTTTTCTCGTTCTCTCTCACAGCCCTGCGGTCTCTGTGCGTCTGGCACGCAGCGAGTCGTTGAAGGCTCAGGGTGAGGGCCGTCGGCGGGGCGTCGTCTCAGGGACGGAGTCTGTCCCTCGCTCTCGTAGCGACGTGGACATGGAGGACTGCGGAGAGGAGAGAGAGGGGCCGGGCCTTAGGCCGCTGCAGCACAGCGCCTCATCGTCCGCGTCCAGCAGCTCTGCACGGTAAATATTGGATTTTGTGTTTTTTCAGGTAACATCTCAAATGTCTTAATGACATACTCAGATATAGATCCTCCTTTAATACTACAGGAAGGGATATACAGAGGTGGGAGAAGTACTTTTGTACTTGAGTAAAAGTAGAAGTACCAGAGTGTAGGAAGTAAAAGTCCTGCATTCAATGTATTAATTAAAGTACCAAAAGTAGAAGTACGTCTTATGCAGATTGGTCCATTTCAGAATAATATATATGATTTTGTTTATAATATATGTTTTGATTATAATTATTGATGCATTTAAAGTGTTCTCAAAGCTGGTAAAGGTGCAGCTAGTTTGAATGGCTTTGCATACTGCAGGGTAGCTTGTGGATTTACTCCAGGTGGAACTAAAGTCTGATTTAAGAGTTGATTATATTTCACATCATTCATCCAGATCTGTAAAGTAACTAAAGGTAGTAAAATTAGCATATTTACCTCTGCATTTTAGTGGGGTAGAAGTACAATGAACTAAACCAATTGAAAGACTCGAGTGAAGTACAAATCCTTCCAAATTGTAATTAAGTACAGTACTTGAGTAAATCTGCTTAGTTTTTTTACACCACTGGGGATATGTAGCTACATAAGCCTCCAAGGGTCAAAACTCACCCCTTTAATTTCAAACACCCCGGACGTTACCCCCCCCCCCTCTGGAAGCGCAGATTCTCACCTCATGCAATCTCTCTTTCTCGCACTCAGGTCTCTAGAGAACCCTACACCCCCATACACCCCTCGGTCTAGACGCAGGTGAGTCCTCCCGGTAGTTGATCAGTGATCAAAAGTATTTATCTGGCAGGAAATTAACCCTAGAGGTGTCAGACGTCTTTTCAACATTGAAGATGAAACAGTTTGGTTCTCAAGAAAGAAATGGCCGCTTCAGTCGCCCTACAATGTTAGATATGTTTTGTATAGAGTGGTGCAGTGATGACGTATTTTTGTAGGCCGACCCGGAAGTAAGCTGCTGGTTCCCTCGACAAAAAAGCAATGGGATTTCTCCATAGGATTTTGGAAAATAGCTCGAAATAAGGTCTGTGGAAAACGAAGCTGTTTGATAAATGCACGTTTTGTTCAGCCGGATAATCTCCACATGTCTACTTTTATACATTTTGAATCATAAATCTAATCACCGGAAGCAAAATACTAACGTTATGCTATAAAGGAACTACAGCCGAGTACAGCAGGGTCGCACGACTTCACCGTCACGCCAGCTTAAGATCGACATTCAAAAATACAGATTCTAAATTGTAAAAGTTGAAGTGTTTGTTTGAACAGTTTGCAGGAGGCAGGAACTTGCTTTCCAGCAGAACAGGGCAAACACACTTAGCAGGAGTGTTTACGTGTTCGGCGTAATGATGTAAAACGGCCTGGACAACTTCTGTAGTCCTATTCAGCCACTTGTTAACAACCATTGTTTCTCAGACACGTCAACTCTTCAGAAATCACCAGCGGGGTCACTGCTGATGGATTTAATGTCGTAGAACAAAACGTGATCCGTCTCTTAAATTTGAGTCAACCACAGACCTTATTTCCAGCTATTTTCCCAAATCCTATGGAGACATCCCATTGGCTCTGAGACCAGGGAACAGGAAGTGGTGACATGCTGACTCACTTCCGGGTTGCAGGCCTCGGTCCTGCACCACTCTATTAAATTGGTGCTTTTCTCTCTCTCTCTGTGTGTGTGTGTGTGTGTGTGTGTGTGTGTGTGTGTGTGTGTGTGTGTGTGTGTGTGTGTGTGTGTGTGTGTGTGTGTGTGTGTGTGTGTGTGTGTGTGTGTGTGTGTGTGTGTGTGTGTGTGTGTGGTGTGTGTGTGTGTGTGTGTGTGTGTGTGTGTGTGTGTGTGTGTGTGTGTGTGTGTGTGTGTGTGTGTAGGAGTATGGACTCTCCGCTGACCCTTCTGCTGGACGCTGCTGCCCTGGAGGAGGAGGTATCCGACGGGCAGAACTGGCAGGACACGGTTACTCCTCAGCTCCTCGCTACGCTCAGTCCCCGGGAGGTGGAGAGACAGGCGGTCATATACGGTACGAGTCAAATACAACACACATGAGATTTTAATATGATTGTTATCGTCATTTAACCTGACACACAACTCAAGCTCAACATCCTGTGCAATGATAAGGGATTGCTTTTGTTAAGATTTTATTCCTTTAATTTTAGCGATATTCTCTACCTGTTCGGTTCTTTATTGATAACTCTTTTTTACATTAGATTACATGTTACTTGTTAGACGCTTTTATCCAAAGTGACTTACATACTCAATCCTGTGGGCAATCCCCACAGGAGCAATTTGGGGTGAAGTGTCTCAGGGACACAACGACATGCTGACTGCAGCGGGGTTTGAACCTGTGCTCCCCTGATCCGAACACCAACGCACTAGCCCACTGCGCCACACTACTCTTATCGGTTATTTTTCACTACTCGATATAACTAAATGTTGTTTCTTTAGCAGCAACAGTAATGTTTACAGAATAAACTCAGAAATATCTCACGGGAAGCAAAGCTAAAATGTGAAGTTTGAAAGAACAGACAAGCAATTTATAGGAAATGTTTCCAACCAAACTACTTAAAGGCAGCCGTTTTAGCTTGATTGTAACAATTTTCTGAGATTATGATCCCCCCCTCTTCGTTTTCTTCACCTTCAGAGCTGTTCACCACCGAGGCGTCCCACCTGCGCACCCTGAGGGTCCTGGACCAGGTGTTCTTCCAGAAGATGAGGTCTGTGCTGAACTCTGATGAGCTGGCCTGCATCTTCCCCAACCTGCCCCAGGTCTACGAACTCCACGGTCAGTGAGCGCGTGTGAACATGTCCAGGTCTTCAGCCACACATATCTTAGATAAGGACGATTCCTGCCCTCTTCTGGTCGTACATACAGAGTGTTTGATTACAGGTATAGCTGCATATTTCTGCGTGTGTGCTGCTTTACGCCGTCAAGACAATTTAGGCTCGTTTCAAAATACGAAATACAACTTTTGAAATAGTGTAACAACTTTAATATGAGGACTATGTGTGTCTCCATGTGAAATGTAACAGTGTCACTGCGTTCTGCTTCTTGTGTTTGCACAATAAAGTGAGTCGTACTTTGAGTCAACATGCTTTCAGGGCTGTATGTGTGCTAGGTAAATAATAATAAGTGAAGCAAATACTAAGGGATGGTTGTCAGCGTAACAATCTCAGCCTGCAGATTTGTTAAGTCAATATCTACTCTGCGCTTTAATAAAGAGACTTTATGAAAGTATATGATGCGATGTAATTGGACTAGCATTTAGCATCATCTGTTCCTTATGCTTTTAGCCTTGCCTTGTATTAATGGTATTATCTGAAATGATGTAACCGATTCCGACCCACATTAAGGTTATGTTATTAGTTTGTGTTTTTTCTTTGTTGTTTCTTTGCAGCGAGTCTATGCGAGGCGATGAAGAAGCGAAGAGAAGCCCCCACCGTTCAGGACATCGGGGACGTTATGCTGGCCAGGGTGAGCAAAGATGATCACCGCCGTCTAGTCCGTCCCCCATCATTTAATTTATTTTTTATTTAGCCTATATTTATACAGGTGTAGATCTCATTGACACAAGGTCTCATTTTCAAGAGAGACCTGTCAGTGGTAACACTACCACATAAAGTTACAGACAGACAGGACACTAAACACATGTTAATACTCCAGCTTCTCTTGTTAGAAGAGTTTGTTTATGGGCAGGATTAATATAACGAACATTACACATACATAAAACGGTCAGTCTAGGTGGCTGAATAGGCATGTAAATACACACAGGTCAGTATACAGATGATACAGGGATCACAAAGTACAGAAATCTGAAAGGATATGACGTGGGCTACTACACTTTATAATCTTATCCCGTTGCGCCCCGCCCCGCCCCGGTCTTTGGTTTTATTCATCATTACCAACATTCATTGACTCAATGAAGTTCCACCAGATATTTTCAAGAACTGTCAGCTTTCCTTTAGTAATGTATGTTCTAAAGCAACACATGCTGACAGATCCTTAATATATTTACTCATACTTGGTTTGCTCACATGTTTCCATCCTATAGCTATTGCCCTCTTCAGGATTAAGTGTTAACGTGGCGTTTGTGTTTCCAGTTTGAAGGGACGGCGGGAGACGAGTTTCAGGAGCAGGCGTCGCAGCTGTGCAGCCAGCAGTCTCAGGCTCAGGAGCTCATCAAGAACAAGCAACGCAAAGACCCTCGCTTCGCTCACATCATACAGGTACACACACACACACACACACACACACACACACACACACACACACCATTTTGTGACAGACATGTGCATGCTCCTGTTCCCAAATCAGTCAAAGATAGATATCAGTGCTCCAATTCTTCCTTATTATTCATTGAGCTCCTCTGCTCTTGTGTTTCACCGATTTTAAGTGTTGTGCAGTCTAATGCCTCTGATATAAGTTGTTCTTGTGGATTTATATTTTAACTTATATTTTATTTGAGTTTCAGACACTTTTACAAACGTACTCACAATTTTACCTACTGTTTCATTCATGTAGATTTTAAGACGTCTATTTCAAGTATTACATTTGAAATATGATCTGATGCCAGTCATACTTGATTAAGAATGTCTATTAAGATGCCTATTTAATTATGTTAGCATGAGTACAACTGTTAGAGTAGTTGGAGTAAAAGTAGGGTTTTGCACATCTTTTTAGTTTCTAATTGGTACTGATAAAAAGTTCAGATTTGCACATCTCTCTCCGTAGATGTTTCTTTGCCTAACGTCTTATTCTTTTTGTTTAGGAGTGTGAAGCGAGTCATCACTGTCGGAGGCTGCAGCTCAAAGACCTGCTGGTGTCTGAGATGCAGAGACTCACCAAGTACCCCCTGCTGCTGGACAACATCATCAAACACACAGAGGGTGAGGAAGCAACAGATACATCAACACAGAGAACATGCCAAAAAAGTAGAATTCATAACGTCAGAATTATTGATTTTCAGCCGGTTCGTCGGACCTCCCCTCACTTCAACGTGCCCACGCCTGTTGCCGAGGGATACTGCTGGCGGTGAACGAGGACGTCAGGGAAACGGAGCACCGGCAACGCCTCAGCCAATACCAACGCAGGCTGGACGCTGCGCCTCTATTCAAGGTAATCAGATAATCCATGTTGGTTTAACGGTAACTTTAGTATTTTTGCTTAATTTCCGATCAATTTCGAAAAATGGTCAGTCACAAAGAAAAAAGGAAATATGGTCCAGTTAGGTCTTGGTGATATATAAAAACGATATGTATATGAGACTAGATTGTTTGCCTTTACCCACTCTATACATACTCTACACCAGTGATTCTCAAATGGGGGTACGCGGACCCCTAGGGGTACGTTGGGGTACTGCAGGGGGTACGTTAAAAAGGTTAATTAAAAAAATACCATGCATGATTACAAAAATAATCTTACTACAATAAGTTAAATGGAAAATACAATTGTATATAAAATATTCCTAGAACCACTAAGGGGGTCCTCCTATAAACATGTTACATTTGTGTATTGTATTTATAGTTTTTAATAATATATCATTTTGTTCATTGGTTTGTTAAACATATATTAATTCAATTGAAAAACTCCTTGGAAAAATATTTTTTTTCTGCATAAAGATGAAAATATCCTTAGTTTGTTGTAATTCATGCATTAAGGAGTTAATACATCAAACACTGAGGGAACATCACTCTATTGTAATTATTTATATAGGCTTTTTCTGTCAAAAATGTCCGGGGTCGGTCAGGGGGTACTTGGCTGAGAAAATGTTTCAAAGGGGGTACCATCCATCCATCCATCTTCTCCCGCTTATCCGTGGTCGGGTCGCGGGGGTAGCAGTTCCAGCAGAGAGACCCAAACTTTCTTTTGGGGGTACATTACTGAAAAAAGTTTGAGAAGCACTGCTCTACACTATATCCACGTAACTCATCATTTATGAAATGCTCATTGTACTTTTGTAAAAGCATCAATATTCAACCCCACAATAATGATATGGATCTGGTTTTCCTCATGTTGCCCAGCCCTTGGTTCAGGTTGAAAATACGACTTAAGTAAACCCTATTTTTCTGTTTCTTACTCTAAGTGTTACTATACCAACCTGCTATTTGACTCAATGTGTTTGTTTTCCTCCTGTCCCTCACAGGGTCTGGACCTCACCACTAAGAGAATGATCCACGAAGGTCCTCTCACGTGGAAAGTCAACAAAGATAAGCAGATAGGTCAGAACCTCCCTGTGGATACATACAGTCATCAGTTTGTTTGTGTGCCTCTTACTCACATTGTCTGTGTCCCTCCATCAGAGATCCAGGCGCTGCTGCTGTCGGACTCCCTGTTGCTCCTGCAGCGGGGCCCGGACGACCGGCTGCTGCTCAGGTATCCGTCCCGCTGGCTGGGGGGGGGCGTGGGGGGCAGCGGGGACAGCAAGACGTTCTTCAGCCCTCTGGTGAAGCTGGACTCTCTGCTGGTCCGCTCCGTAGCTACAGGTCAGGAACGCTTACCCATAGATTTAATATTCCCCTCTGGCTTTTTGGATGATATAATGTATGTAATGGTGTTGTGATTTGTCTCCAGATAACAAAGCCCTCTACTTGATCAGCACCACAGAGAGGCAGATCTACGAGCTGGTGGCCGGGACGGCGTCGGAGAAAAACACGTAAGCTCTTTCCCAAGAAATGTCTACTTTGTTTAATTTAGTTAGACCCATTGAGAATTACAAGAGAGACTTAAATACACAAGTTGAATCAATAAAACTAAAACAATCAAACAGTGATAAAAACAATATATAGTATATACGATTTCTGAAAACCCATTGGCGTATCAAACTACAATATACACTGCAATCCAGTCCTAATATATTTTTCAAAAGAATCAAAGATGTCTTTCCCAGATTCTGGCGTTTGTGCTTATTGAGCATCCATGTGTTACAGCTGGAAAGATTTACTTGAAAAGACCATCTCATCGTCCGGCGGTTCATCCCCCCTGATCAATCACGGATCCATACCTATATCGTGAGTAATTCTGACGTCTATGAATAATATATAAATAAATCTGTTCCTTTGCAACACAGTTCTGTAATATGTCTTCAATTTAATTATTTTCATGTCTTTCTTTAATACATTTGTTTACTCCTTGCATATGCTTAATGTACATTGTGTATATTTTTTCTACAGCTCCTCCAGTCTGCGCAGTGCGTCCCCAGTGTCAACTAGCAGCAATGTGTTTGCAGGTAATTAAATGATCTTCACCCCAAATATGTAAACTGTGTGGAAATGTAGTTTTTGGTTGAGTCACTTCGTTTTTTATTTTCTTCATCTTCCAGACAACTCAATAACGGAGCAGTCCGATTCCATGGAGACTCATTCCTCCAACGACGACATTGTGCTCTCAGCACACACACCTACTGACCAATCAGAAGCTTTCATCTGCGGTGAAGGAGAAGCAGTTGGTGTGGCCGAGGCCGCTTTACAGGACGGTGAGAAACAAACACATCTGTTACATTTGTAATCATCCGATAGGAATTTAATAAAATCACAACCATTATAGTTCATTCTAAATATATTATTTATTTATTAATTGTTGTTTGTTGTTGTCTCCACAGTTGAAACACTAAGGCAGCTCATTTTACGAGATTTGGACGAGGACGGTTGGAGCCACAATTCAGACGACACGCCCACCAACGAGACGACCAATGAGAGGAGCTCGTTCACCGAGAGGCAGCGGCCAGAGTCTCTGGAGACTGTCCTCAACTTCAGCACCAACGAATGGGAGGCGGAGCCTGAAGAAGAGGCTCCGCCGCTTGACTCTGAGCAACCCAGCAGCGTTCAGGTCGTGAGGAAAGGTAACGGATACATCTTTAATCTTCCCACAGGGCTGGCTGTTTTTGGGTGAAATCTGGGTGTCTTTAATGGCTGCCTTCCTCTGCATGTTTCTCTTCACTTGGGTGATTCATTAATTTGTTTCTCACACACTTTATTTTCTCTTTTTCTTCTGTCTGCTTCCACTTTACAACACACTTCTTCCCCACGCACTTTTCCTTGTCACACATCTATCCTCTTAGCTGTGGTTGCGGGTCCTTCTTCTTCTTCTTCTGTCCCTGACGACATCACTGCTGATGTCACACTCCCCTCCGACCAATCACACGAGCCGAGAGGCGAGGCCACCGCGCAGGGTAATGACGTGCTGTCGTTTTATCAGAAGAAGATTATACCTTTTTATGTAAATGTCGGATAATTATCAAGATGAGTTCTGGAGAATATAATCTTTGTGTCGGTGTTGATTTTACCGCTAAAACAAAAACACTTTCTGCTCCAGGGAACATGTTCTACCTGGTACTGCCTACAGCGCAGGGAGAGAGCGCCACCGACGACCTCCACGACCCTCCTACTCCCACCGCCAGCCACTTCCCTCAGCCTCTGGAGGAAGTGATATCACTGCAGCCCGAGGAAGAAGCACCCGCCTGCTTCTCCAACCAATCAGAGGCTATGCAACTGGAACAGGAAGAGGAAACGGACCAATCGCCGCAGAGCCACGTGATCAAAAATGTGGACGAGATTTTCCACACCATCGAGGGGCTGACGAGCAAGCTGCGCCAGCTGAAGGTGAGTTTGTGTTGACGTGGCAACAAGGTGGCTGTCGGACCGTGAACTCAAACCTAATCCAACTCACAAAAAACGTTTTCTGTACAGTCATCACAAAGCGTCATTCTTACTCTTATGTTATTTTTAACCAGTTAGAGCATCTTATTTCTGTCTTACGAGGATACATGGTCTCTTTCCCCAACAACTATGTTATTATTAAGGTTTTAAATGCTGCCACGAGAAGAGATCAGCTTTCATGGGGAGTGGAGCTAATACTGCAGCCATATATAGGGGACTTTAGTGAATGCAGTTTATAGTATCTGATTAAAACATTTAGTGTACCTCATGCTGTGGACTACTAACTGTGTGCTTTACTTTGTAACATTAAATCTTTAAGTCTCTCAAAAGTTGTGTTTATGTTTTTTACATTCGGACGATAAGGCCCTCAACAAAAAGCAACAAACGGGGTCAAACGTTGTTCATGGTTTAACCCACAAAGTGTACAACAGCTCTCTTATAATGTCCTGCATCTTTCCCTCTTTTTTACAGGACATAGAGAATTCCCATCACACGCTTTTGAAGACCCTCAGAGAGCCGTTAGTCAATCAGGAGCCAGAGGACCAGCAGTGTCCGTCGGCAACCGTCTCCAGAACGCCGTCTCTGGATCGCGGCTCAGGGGACGGTGAGAAACAACCGTAACTATTTACAAAACAAGAATTGACGATGCATTCCTCTGTAAACTCATTTTCTTTTTCCTTGACCCCCACCAGGCAAAGAGGGCAGTCCAGCAGAGCCCAAGATTCAGTCGACGGGATTCTGACGTCACTCCGTCTCGATTGTTGGCGCAAGAACGCACTAATATCGGTCTCGGGCCCTTAAGCCCAGCCTCCCCTCACCCTTTCCTCCCTGCATGCACCGGCCATTCGATCAGAGCCCAGGACGGACCCTAGCTGTGTTTTTTTTGTTTCCCGTTTCCCTGGAATACAAACAAACCAGCCGGAATCACCAGGATCTCTGAGGTCAGCACAACTTCTACGTGGACGGAGCGAGGAAAAAGTATGAAGGAACAAAAAAGGCACGAGACAAGTTAACCAGTGAAGAGAAATTTAAAAAAGTTGGAAGCATTGAAAGTAGAAAATCGGAGTTGGATTTTTGAAGGAGTTGTACGTCTTGCTTCTTTTTTTTTTTTAAAGAGCTGGTTGAAGAAACGGAGCAGAAAAGTGTTGAAATGTTAATTTAAGGGAAAATCCGAAGGGACCCATCACCCCTGCACTTTACCCACAATGCATCCCTCTGTCATGTACAGTGGACAAATCAGGGACAGGAGATGCCACTGGCTTTATTTAGGGCCCGACATTTGAGCCAAGATGGCCTCCGGGGGTCCCCGCCCCCCCCTCCGCCTCCACTGGTTGCTTTACACTGATTCACCTGCCACCGTGGCCGAAGGACTGTGTCTATATAATTCAGGTTATTTGCACTGGGTAAGGAAACCAACACATCATTTTTATTTTGTCATTAAGCTCGGATTCATATCCTCACACTGTGGGAGTTACACGAACGTGTCATTGGGAGCAGCCTCACTGACTTATCCTCCAGTCTGTTTTACTCATCATTCATGCCATTGTTAATGTTGTTCATTTTGAAACCCTAAACCGCTGTTTACTACTGAAATGCTGGCAGGTTTTCTTTTTCAGCGCTGCTTCAGAGAGGGTCAGGGATCTCAGCGATAAACAAGCTCTTCTGATCATGTCGCGTTAGGGAGATTTGAGAATGCTTTGGGAGAAGACGGGCAATGTTGAGTGAGGAAAGAGGACAAATAGAGATTCAAACTTGAAAACTGCTCTGAAAAAACGTCGCCCTCAATCAAATTGCTGCCAAAAATCGCCGCTGACATCGCCTGTCCACACTTTGAGATTTAGTGTGTGGAGGGGTAGATGCTGCGAACCAGCAACTCTTCACTTCTCCAGCAGTCACACATACATAGTGTTCATATCCATCCAGCCAAAGCCATGAAAGGACTGCGCTCTGTACCTGAACATCCCCACCCTTTGAACAACCTGTATTTATTAGGTAACTAAGATTATTTTTTTGACAAACTCTGCACATTCTCCAAGTAAAAAAAACTGCTTCAGTATATGCAAATGTTAAATAAGCAAAAATAAATTGAAACAATGGTTTGACATTTTGGGAAACACGTGTATGCAAAGGCTGATAACGCTAGCAGCCGCTTAGCTTAGCTCAGCGCACAGACTGGAAATGAGGGAAACAATTAGTATGGGTCTGACTAAAAGTAACATACCACCTACCAGAATCTGTAAAGCTCATAAATGAACACGCTATGTCTCATTAGTTCCTGTAGTTTCTTCTTGTTTCTGCACCTGAACTCACACATTTCTGCGTGTGTTTTTTTAGGATTTGACTAATTAAGATTTAGTGCGTTGATTTGGGAACTTTGTAGGTTCTGCTAGGTGGATTTTGTTAGCTTAAGACAGGCTAAAGCTAGCGGCTTCGCTTCTTCCAGTCTTTACGCTAAGCTAACCTGCTACTGGTTCCAGCAGAGTCCTAAAAACAGACACGAGAGTGGTATTCAACACAATAAAGCAAATAATCTCAAACTATGTAGGAGTAATTTAAGGTTTTTGTAACCAATGGTTAAGGCACATTTACCAGCAAAGACTGACACTAAAGCTTTTTCTCTCAAACGCCTTCTATCTTAACCTAAATTGATGACACGCTAAAAAGAAAATATATCTTTAAACTCTTACAAGGAAAGAATTGTGTTTCTTTTGTACCAGTTTAATTATTTTCCTCTTATCAAGCTGATGGTCGCACCGAACTGGATTTTATTTGAGCTGGTTTCAAATACTAACAGACTTTACCGACAATACATTACCAAACTGATCACCAGGAGCCAAGTATATTAACCAGCTGAATTCTACTTTCAAAAGGATATTTCACTGCTGTAACATAGCCGTCACATATGAACAAAACAGACATTTTCAACTTAAAAAGGACACCTTTTGACGACCAGAGTGGCTGATTTCAGCAGGAAACCCCGAATTAACAACAGGGATTTGTGATAAAAAGTTCAAATGTTCTACCAAAGTGAAATATCTTTCCACAGGTGTAGAAGGGAACATGTTTTTTGTTTCGACATTATGGCTGCCTATTTTCAAGTGACCCAGAAGTGTTATCGAGAAGAAAATATTTTTGTTTGAAACATTTCCATGCCAAGCTATGGACACACAGTCATCACTGTGCTGTCCATAATTTGGCTCAAAGAAGTCAATATCTCTCCTTCTCCTCGACAAATAGTACCTTTTCTTTCCTCCCACCTCTAAACATTTTTCATTTCCAATTTCTACCTCTACACTTCAATTTCTTTATATCTTTCATGATATCTTCTTTCCATTTTACATTTACATCAGCGTTGTCGCCCTAACCGGCTAAAAAAGAAAAGAAAAAGAAGATATAACTGATTCCCTTTTTTTTAATGTTGCACAAAAAACTTCCCTGCACGGTGCAAACTACTGTATGCATACACACGTCTTTAACTATCATCTCATTGGTTTTATTTTGTGTCTTTAAAAAAAAAAAAAATCGTGTTCACTCATGTAATATAGAGATCAGACCCACTTGTTTTATATATGTTAATTTTTTCCTGTAAAGCCTTAGTCCTCGTATTTGGTTTTATTTTTGTAGATATGATAAAAAAAAAAAGGATGTATAAATTATTTTCTTCTCCCTTGTTTTTAAAATGGATGAGATTGTTTAGCTGCACAGAAGGAAAACAGAGCTCGTGTCTCAGATTCATGTGTTTTGTGAGATTAAAAAGAAACTGGATAAACTAAATGAAATGTGGATTGTGAGTTTTTGATCTTTGAATTTGGGTTGAATTGTCACCAGTTAATTAGTAATCTTGTCTCTTTAAGTGAGTGTTGAAGTTATTCATTTGGATATGTTTTATTCCCTTAGTAGGATTAAGGATCTCTAAATCATCACCTACTCAAAACTATAGCAGCTTTTCATGGTTTAAAGTCGGGAATGTAACAGGAAATCCAATTTTTTTTTGCTTTAAAATAAAAGCAGAAGGTTTGTAGAAGGTATAATAAAAAATGTATATATTCTGTATGTACATTAGGCTTATATTCATAATTTCATTACGAAATATAGATATATCCGTAGACATTACAAGTGTGCATTATTGATATGACAAGTATCTTTTTATACTATGTGCACAATGCGTGGGGTTTCATCCATATGTTTAACATTTAAAGTGTTAAACGTTTTAAATGCAATTGTGTTCCTTTGTAAACAAAACATATCGGCTTTATTGTTTAAACTGACACCGGAAAATTCTAGGGCAAATGTCGGTTTTATTCTGATGTCCACCCGGAAGCAGTTGGTTTACTCTCTCTCCAGCTTGACTCCGTGTCTCCGGTGCTGGAGGTCTGCGGAGCGGCTCAGCTCAGCGGGGATCCGCCACAAAGCAGATGCGAAGCCGGGATGAGTTGCGAGTCGCTGCCCTTTGTGAGGCTTCGGTGCTTCGGTTTGAAATGCGATTTTACAGCCGAAAAGACAACAAAACAAACTGCTATCACTAACAAAGAATCAAGTTACACTCCGGTGATAAATGAGCGCGGAATCTGAGATGAGAGTCGGGAGAAAGTGATTTTTGTAGGCACTTTTGTTGCTCGGCTCTTTGTGCTGCAGCGTTACCCTTTTGGATAGAAAGGTAAGACATTCCTGCATGCATTCTGGGTAAAATGTGGGGTTTCTGAATGAGCATTTTCACCATAACAACGGCTAACTATGCCAAAACTACAACAATCTACATTTGTGCCTTTCCCCCCCCTCTTAACATATTTTTTAGCTGTATTTGTGCACGGACTGATGAGCTGGCAGAAAACAGTATCGATCTCAGATTCATTACATTTCTCCACCAGTGTGAACACACACACACCGGGTTTCCACAAAGCTCATTCTCCATGAGTTGTTCATTGTTTTTATCCGCGCACTTTTACGCACTGTGTGCCAAATGGAACGCTACAGATTTGGTAGATTTTACTCCGCTGTGCAAACACGCATGCGAGAGGAGTTTTCTGTGTGTGTGGTCACCAGTCTGTTGCTCATCACTGCATCCTGGGTGTGTTCGGCTTTGTCTCACTCCTGGTTTTTCGCACTGATTTTTAAATCGTTTTTTAGCTTTTAAAACTGTGTTCCTGGGCTTTAGTTCAAACGGTTTGTTTGTGGTGTAAAGGCCTCGAAGCCTGGGCTCGGCTTTGCTTAAAGGAGTCTGTATTGAGGCTGAAGCCACGCCTCGATGGCCCACTGCCACCCTGAGGCCTGGAGGCCCCCGGGAGCCCCAACATGACTGAGGCGGCATGCATTTGAACATCCAAAACTGAGACTTAAAGAGAACCATTTCTATTTTTAACAAAGTAAACAATTGTACTCTTGTTTGAAATGTAATAATAACGAGTTGAATGACTTTTTAGAGCAACTCTATCACCAGAGATAAAACTATATATTTTGAGCCTGGCTTCTCTATGTAGTAACAGTTTGTTTCCACACTAGTACTTATCCAACCTATCACATCCCAGATGATGCTGTGCGTGCTCTCCAGTGAGGATCAATGAGCGGTGGATGGATTACAGTGGGAGATGCTCGGAAGTGCGATCAATGGGATTGTTTGTCACAGACGGGGCTAGTTTTGTTTATATTTCTGCCACAATAATTATGTTCAGATAATTGTTTTGTTGATTTCCAACATAAAACCAAGTTGTTTTTTCTCAGTACTGAGGGTCGCATATTTTTCCTCAGGCTCTGTGTTGTGTCTGGCCCTAGATTTGACCAATACACACTTATAACAGCCACTTCATGCAAGATAAAGCCTTGTTAAATCTGCACACTCTGCAGCAAAGATAATTTTATGCAAACTAGAGAATCAGGTCAGTGTGATTTCCATTTTTAAACAGAAATCGTGCAGCATGGCATGCATGATGTAGTGACTAAGACCAAGCACATTCTCCTTTTTTAAAGAGAGACATGTGTCCCCTGTGCGGCGTCTATAAAAAGAGTTTTTAATGTTTCATAGCACGGGACAGTAACATTGTTGTTCAACCATATCTGTGGAGCTTTATGCTTGGTCTCATATAATTGCAGGAAAGCAAATCTTCTCCCCGTTGGCAGGTTGTCTTGCAGGCTGCATCAGGCTTTCCGTCAATATTTCAGTATTTTTGTAGCTGCATTATGTTCTCTACCCTCACAAGCATTCACGTGATGCTGTGTCCTAAAAGCTCGTCAGATATTAAAACCGTGTCCCAGCTGACTCCAGAGTGGCTATGTTATGGTCACTTTCCCGTAAACACTTTTTCTGCTCATGTGTGAATCACATGAAAGCCATTACTGAACACTGGCCTGTCTGATGGAAGACGGACACAGGAGGTCACGGAGCAAATTGAGAGTGCGAGGACTTCTTATAACATTAAGACTCAGATTGTTCTACGGCTGATTGGGAAAGTACCTTCTGGGGAAACAAACTGTGTTTACAGTCCGCTTGATTCACAGGCATAGCCTGGTAAATGATTAGTTTGTGTCTTCAGAGGTGTGTGTTTGAGGGAGAATTAGAGGAGGGGGGTGCAGAGTTGATGTTCTGGTTGCTGTGGTTACTACCCCCCTCCTGTCTTTTCTCAGCCCTAGCCTCCCATTCATCCCCATTGTAGTAGTGAAGCTCTGTTGCCCTTGGAGACCACAGGGGACAGTTTGGGAATGTGGCGTCCGGGCGAGTATGTATCAGACATGGACCAACAAGGAAAACCACCATGCATTTCGTATAAATGAGACACTGTGCATGTTCTTCAAGGTCGTGCAGTTCTTCTGGAATGGTCCTGATGTTCTGCATGTCGTGCACACTGGAGACCTGCAGCCCAGAATAGAAGTAGGTGTAGTTGCCCTTTATTGGCTGAGAACACACTCAGGGCCACATCACTTGCTCATAAAAAAACTCCCTTAAAGCGGAAGAATGGGCCCAGCTATGTCCTGTGTGCCTGAACAACACACACACACACACACACCTCTGGGCCAACACTCTAACAATGCCCCTCTTCTTGTTGCTGTTCCTTGGTATGTTTCCCTCTGAGATGCTTTTCTCCTCGTCTGATATGACAAATTGTCCCCCTCTCGGTCTCCTCATTTCTCATCCTGCCTCCTTGCTGTTCACTCTCAAACACTCCATCTATCTTCTTCTCTCTGTAACCCGTTTTCTCTTCCTTCTCCCAGGCCTCCAAGATAGATTCCCTCAGGAGTAAGGTGGACCTGCTGCGCCTCCCCCTGGCTCTCTCCACCAAGTCCATCAGCAGCCGTAAGAGCCAGCTGGGCGTGGTCTGGGAGAAAGGCGGCGGCGGCTCGGGGGCAGGAGGGGCCCGGAAACCCCGCCCACCGCCGGCCTCAGACATGGACAACGAGTCGACGTACTCGGGCTACTCCTACAAATCGTCCCAATCGCGAAGCTCCCGCAAACACAGGTAGAGGACCTCAGGTGTCACTGTACTGCTGATTAATTGGTCATTCAATAACATCTTTGAAAGTAATAATGATAATACGTTTATTTATTATAGCACCTTTCACAGAAATAGAAATGCAATTATTTTTCGTCAATTAATTGAGAAAATAATTGCAAAAATCTTTGCTGTTCATTATCCCTCAGTCCTCGAATAGAGATACAAATACAATTTAAGACATAAGTGTAGAATTGTCCAACTTTGGCGCCTCCTGTTGGAAGTATACAAAAATGCTGAGAATATTCAAAAACATAATCACATAAAAATGTACACATAATGCATTGAACACTGGAATAAAAGAAGAAATAAAAAAAATAATATATTTGTAATAATTTTAAATATATATATTGTTGTAAAAACACCCTTTTATTGTTTGATTTACATTTATACATTTAAAGTATTACCACAACAGAATAGCTAGACTTCAGGTTTTTAAATAACCTGCCAGGACACAAAATGATTTTCTCCCATTGATAATAATCCCTGACTTGTCCTTTGTCTCCAGGGATAGGAGAGACAGACATCGCTCGAAGAGCCGCGACAGCAGCATCCGAGACAAATCGGTGACCATCCAGGCTCCGGGGGAGCCGCTGCTGGACGCCGAGTCGACCCGCGGAGACGACCGGGTCAGAGGCAGACTCTAATCCTTCCTCTTCATCATCTGTGTTCAGCCATGTTTCTCCAACGCTCATTACTCTGCTCTCTCTGCAGGATGACAACTGGGGCGAGACCACCACGGTGGTCACGGGCACCTCCGTGGACAGCGTCTCCAACGAGGACCTGACGCGACTGAAGGACCTCGAGGACTCCTCTCCGCTGCAGTGTCGCCGGTTCCTCGGCCCGGCGCTGGGCGGGGTTCTGGGGCTCTTCGCCCTGGTCACCCCTCTGGCCTTCCTGGCCCTCCCGCAGCTCCTCTGGCGGGACACCCTGGAACCCTGCGGCACCCCGTGTGAGGGTCTTTACATTTCCCTGGCCTTCAAGCTCCTCATCCTCCTCATCTCCACCTGGGCGCTGTTCCTCCGCCCGCCCAGAGCCACCCTGCCGCGCTTCTTCATCTTCCGCTGCCTGCTGCTGGCGCTGGTGTTCCTCTTCGTGGCGTCCTATTGGCTGTTCTACGGGGTGCGCGTGCTGGAGCCCAGAGAGACTGACTACAGGGGCATTGTGGGATACGCAGCGTCTCTGGTGGACGCGCTGCTGTTCATCCAGTACCTGGCCCTGGTGCTGCTGGAGGTCCGGCACCTGCAGCCCGCCTTCTGCCTGAAGGTGGTGCGGACCACCGACGGAGCCAGC